TATGCTTCCCCTCAGCCTTGAGCCACCCAAATCCTGGAACTAAGGTGAGACAGGGGAAAATTGGGTGCCCTCCTTTCGTTCTAAAGACGAAGATAGAAACACAGTGAAGGAAAGACTGAGTGAATTCTCACCAAGGGGATAACACTGAGAGAATCTGCAAAGGTAAACTGGTGGGAGATGTGGATTGAGGAGCTTCAATGGGGGCAACCGGTGGAGGGTGACTGGGGGAGACAGTGGCTTCTGGTCGTTATAGATGAGGGAAGTTCCTTTCCTGGGATCCTGAGTAAAGACCTCGGTGGTTGCTAGCTGAATTCATGTAATAAGACTTTTGACTTAAAAGCCTACAAATACATGCCTTCCCATCACTCAGCCCTCCACCCTAATTAGCTACTCTCTTTTGTTCCTTCAGTTCTAGAATTATTTCCTGAGTTTGCGTCTCTTTTTTCCATCCCAAGCAACCTTTTGCCTTTTGCCTTTGATTTCAGTCTTTCCACCACCAGAGGATGCACAAATCTGCACAGGAAACAGTGTCTTCTATAAAATAGTCAGATAGGGAATATCTAACTAGCTTGCCCTGTAGGAGAGTCTTCAACAAACATCTGATTTTGAAATCAGCTATGTGTAGTTTCTGATAGAGAAGGAACTATTTCAGTTAGGGCAAACTTGTCCACAGGAAAAAGTCCCAGGAAAAGATTGCCATGAAGTGCCTTAGTCCAAGATCTTGCCAAAAGATGCACCATGTAATCTAGTTGGTATATCATAATGAACTTATTTTACTTGTAATTCAGTTCTTTTTATTTAGGCCTACCTTTTTATTAGCAAGTCTATAGAAATAGTCATAGTAAACAGACCACTAGTGATGGATACTCATGGTTTCTGCATATATGTGTGTATACATACATGTATGTGTGAGAATGGAGTCAAACCTCCTGTGTTATACATTTGCATTTTTATCTAATTATCTTCGTGGCATACATTGACTTCCAGAAAAGTTCTACAGTTGGCTCTCTATTTCTACAAGTTCAGCAGCTGTAGACCTCATCAACTGCAAATAAATAATATTCCTTAAAAAATTGCATCTGGGGGCTGGGAAAGTGGCTCAGTGGTAGAGCGCTTGCCTTGCATGCCTGAGGCCCTGGGTTCGATTCCTCAGCATCACATAAGCAAAAAGAAAAAAGCCGGAGGTGGCACTTTGGCTCAAGTGGTAGAGCGCTTGCCTTGAGCTGAAGAGCTGAGGGACAGCGCCCAGGCCCAGAGTTCAGGCTCCACGACCGGACCCAAAAAAAAAAAAAAATGCATCTGTACTGGACATGTATAGAGGTTTTTCTTTGCAATTATTCCCCAAACAACACAGTATAACATAGCATCACATTGTATTCAGTCTTAAAAATAAGCAGAGATGACTAGAATATACTAGGGGATGTGCATAGGTTATATGACTATACTGTGCCTTTTTGCATAAGACTTGATCATCTTTGGATTTTTAGCATGTGAGGGAGGTTATCAGACACACACACATAATGTTAAGGAAATAATTGATTTAGTGTGCATTCCACCCAAAGGATTGAAATCTAGCACATTCCGCTGACTTGGCACTTTCAACACCATGTTAACTGAGAGTAATGCTGCTTCTTTTAGTTTTCATTAATAGAAGGGTTAAATTGGTTCTATGTATATAGGCAATTTACAGTTTTCCTTTCCGCATTGTCTCAGAGTTATTTGTAGATTTGTATATCGCTATCGTCATCTTATTCATGATTGCAGTTTATGTATTAGAGATGCGAACATCCATTTGTATATATTGCAATTATTTTTCATGGTCTGTTATTTGAGTTTTAGCCTTTCCCAATGAGGGTTTCCAGCAAGAATTAAACCCCCATCTTAGGCATCCTTTGTATATAATGTATTATCTTCTGTCTTAAACACCTAGAATTACACCTGCTTTGTAAGACTGGTAGAATCTAGAAATTAGTCATTCTACTTATTGTCTGTGTTTTGTGGTTCAGAGAGGAATCCATGTGAGAAATGTGCTTCTACTTGCTTTCCCAGTGTTCTCTTCATTATTCAGATTGAAAATATTGTGCTTTTGTTTTAGTATAGGCAAAACGATCTCCAATTAACCACTCAAAACCTGGAAGTGGTTCTGTGGTTCAAGTGGTAGAGTGTTAGCCAGGAGCACAAAGAGGCTCAGGGACAGCGCCCAGGCCTTGAGTTCAAGCCACAGCTTACCCCCAAAAAAGAGTCTCACAGACTTTTCTGCCCTGGCTGGCAGATCTCAGCCTCCTGAGTAGCTGGGATTACAGGTGTGAGCCATCGGCACCTGGCTCCCTGTTGCCTTATTAAATCCTATTTTCCCTATACTAGGCTCTCTCCAGTGTACCTAGGACTCTCAATTCTTTCCCATTGATTAGTTTCTCCATTCCAATCCAGACCCACAGTATTTAATGACTGAAAATATAAGAATTATTGATCTCTTTAAAAGATGTCATTTTCTTATCCAAAACGCAAGCTATGTCTTATTCTTCCAGACTTCTGTCCCTCAGGACAGTTCTTAAAAAAAAAAGTAAGGAAAACTAATCTTAACAGGCATTTTATTTTATTATTTTTTTTTTGGGGGGGGGGTCTGGTCGTGGGGCCTGAACTCTGGGCCTGGGTGCTGTCCCTCAGCTCTTCAGCTCAAGGCTAGTGCTGTACCACTTGAACCCACAGCGCCACTTCCGGCTTTTTTTTTCTTTTTTTGCTTATGTGGTGCTGAGGAATTGAACCCAGGGCCTCATGCATGCAAGGCAAGCGCTCTACCACTGAGCCACCTTCCCAGCCCCATTAACGGGCATTTTATAAATGACAAAAATCACATATGCTCTTTGTAGTGAATCAACTCAAAAGGAAAGACTTATACATGTACATATTTATATGCACCTGAATTAAATCCCAAAACTTCCCACTGAGAAAAAAATACCTGTAACATATCTATCGTTTGCAATGCCTTCGTTCTGCAAAATAAAAATCCTTTAAAATGTACTCAAAGCTTGTATCATTTTAGTTTAAAACCTCAGGAACACAGCGGAGGTAGAGTTCTGGGGTTCAACTCCTCGGGTGCAGACCTAGGTATAGCCCAGCTGTGTGTGTCTGTGTCTGTGTGTCTCTGTGTGTGTGTGTGTGTGCAGCAACGTGTGCCCGGTCCAGGCCTGGCAGCTGATAGAAGGGGGAGAAGAAGGGGAGGGAAAGGGGGGAGGGAGAGTAGGAGGAGGAGGAAAAAGGGTGTGGGGGAACTCTAGGAAGAATAAGGTCCAAACTCCAAGAGGGGTCTGTGAGGGTGGAGGAGTTGTTCTGAGATGAGAATACCTGAAGAGCAGAAGACTCAGTGTGAGAAGAAGGTGGAGGCCGCAAGTCCCCAATCGGACTGAGAATGACATCGGAGTATCTAGACCGCGGAGCGCTGGGTCTCCTGTCCTCTGAACTTCCCTGTCCTCTAAACTTCGGTGCTTGGTGCAGACACAGAGTTCTCCCTCTAGTCCGGAGCCTGCAGGAAGGGCGCAAACCTCCAAAGATGCTTCCACGTCGGAGCAGCTGCCTGTTCTCCACCGGGAGGAGTGGGGCAGTGCCTCCCTCTGGTGGCCTCAGCGCAGAACTACACCGGGCCTACTTGCTCAGCCAATGCCTACAGTTCAGCAAGAGGCCAAGCATTAAACAAGCTCTGGCTAAAACACACAAAAACCCTACAGCCAGTCCTACTGATGCACACCTGTGCGGGGGAGGGAATCTGAAACGGGAAATCTCAGAGTTCCAAATCAGACGGGGATATAGCAATTATATATACATATGTATAGCAAGAACCTGTTTCAATACAAAATAATAATAACGCTAAAAACTTCCTTCAGGCAAAGGTGGCAAAAAAAATAATGACAAAACAAAAATGGTGATAAAAATGATCAAGCCAGGAGCTGGTGGCTGATGTCCATAACCCTAGCTTTCTTGGGAGGGTGAGATTTGAAGATGGTGGCGACATCTACCGTTGTGTATGATGTTAGCCCCGAGGTTTTCATACACACCATCTACTGTGCTGAGAAAGTTCCACTCTCTTCCTAGTTTATTAAGAGGTTTTGTCACACACACACACACACACACACACACACACAAACAACAGTTGAGATGATTCTGTGGGTTCCCCCCCCCATTCTATTGTAACTTATTCAGTGATTGTGTTTCCTATATAGAGACATCCTTGAGTTCTGGAAGGGAGTCCCATTGGTGTATAACCCATTTCATAATGCTTTTGGATGAGTCTGCTGCTGTTCAAAAGGAATGTTACCTGCTATTTTTCTTGTGTGCCCCGATAATACATACCTTCTAAAATGATCATTATGTTCGTGGCTTATTACCTGCTTCTCTACCCACCCATGACGTTTGTGTTGTTTCCTAAAGCAATTTCAAACGGCTTCTAACCGTGCCAGGCACGTATTGCAGGTGCTCAGAAGCGGTTAGCTGTACCATCCGAAGGGGGTATGGGTCTGCTCTTGAACATCATTTGCGCGCTTCACCTTCATGCACAAGTTCGAAGATGCTGCGATGTGCAGTATCGGTCTCGATCTACTTTCTGGAACCTCGGTCCACTTTCTGGAACCCAGGGGCTTTCGCAGCCAGGCGGGGGACGGAGCCTGCGGACCGGGAGTGCACCAGGTAGCCCCGCCCCCTCCCCGCCCCGCCAATGTTATAAACTACCTTTCCCAGAAGGCTTCGCTCCTCGAACGAACTACAACTCCCAGAGGACACCGCGGCGCCCGCGGCGCCGTCCCCTGCCCCGCCTCTCCCGGACTTCCGTGAGGCTGCGGGAGCTTTGGTCCAGGTGTGCGGCCCTGGCGCCTGAGGTGGTCCGCGAACCCCCGAGCCTGTGGGGGTGGGGAGGGGAGGGGCGGAGGTGAGCGCGCAGGCCCCGGGGGGGGGGGATGCGGGGAAGCGGCCTCTGTCGTCGCGGGACGGCCGGTGGGGGGTGCCCCGGGGCCCGGCTCGTCCCGGGCCCAGCCTCCCGCCTCCCCGGTGGGCCGGGGCCTCTCTGTGCCCGATTCCCCCCCGTCCGCGCTTACTGTTCTGCAACCGTTTTCCCCAAACTGCTGGGTAAAGCTTGAGGTGGAGGAAGATGGCCCCGGGGCGCGCGGGACCCACCGGGGACGGTGAGCACGGCTGTGAAGGCGGTGAGCAGAGGCCGGACAGGCCGCTCGGTGTTGTCCACCCGCCTCTTTTCCTCTCCCCTGATTGGTCTGATGCAGGCAAGACCCTCCCCCTGGGCGGTAGTCACCGGATGGTGGTTTGCCGGAGGGCTGGCCTGAGTTGTGGGGGGGACCCAGGCCCCTTCCCCTGGGAGAGGGCGAGGGGTGGTGGTTTGTGCGCCGGTGTCGCCCCGCCGGCTGTGGAAATGGGGACAGGTGGCCCCACTCACCCCTCGGTCTCCGTGTCTCAGGAATGCTCTCAGCACCCTGTGTGACTGAACTCTGGCAGTGGCTGGCACAGGGTGCGGTGAATCCCTGATGTGATGGAATCCAGTCTTCCCAGTCTTGCTTCTGGAAATTCCCTGAGCCAGGAAGATTAGGGACCTGGGGTCAGGATGGACTTAGCCCTTCGCTGGCTCTGTCCACCCTGGTGGCCCCTCTCAGGACCCCTGGGGTCATCCTTCACACTGGCCCTTCTTTCTTCTCTCAGGTCTAGCCTCTGGAGACTGCACCTAACCTTGAGGAAGAGTCCAGAGAAGAAAAATGGCCCCTGAGCCAAGAGAAGCAAAGTCTCAGGTGAGCTCATTGCAGTTCTTAAAGGATGGAGGGTTTCCCCTCTTGACTGAAGCTGTCTACCGAGCACTTCCTTCAGGATTTGGACCAGATGTTCTTTTATTTGAAGGAGTTGGTCCACACTCACGGGTGGTGGATTCTCTGTGAATACTGGCATCCAGTCATTTGTTCGGTATCTCAACCTGGTTATGTCATTACTAATGTGGCAGGTAACATGCCGTGAGTCTACAAAACAGACTGGCACCCTAGGAAGTTCTTCCTGGTCCTGCCTCCTCTGCTCATGCCTCTCTCTCTCCCTGCCCCTAGCTAGAATGCTTCTCTTCTTGGAATTATCCTCATGGTTCCAGGCTTCTCCAGTCCTGAGATTTTTGGTTTGATTCCTCCCACTTCACTTTATGGATCATGTGCTTAGTGCATGAGAAGGGTTTAGGTCAGGGCCAGGCACATAGGAATGGTGCTGGGTATGGTTATTGTAGTATATTGATAATAATAATATTGGCAGATTGAAACTCCCATACATTTATACAAACCCTGTCCCTCCCCCAATACTTGTCCTTTTCTTCATATAGCAGTAATACTTGATGTTTATTGGTAGTCCAGTGTGCTGAGAAATGTCCAAGAGTTTGCATTTGTTACTTCTCATTCACTGAAAAGGATTCTAACAGATGCTTTCCAAAGAACCTCTGGTGATTATTATTTGGGTGTTGGAATAGGCTAATTTATTTTTTATATATGTAGTGGAACATATATTGGTGTTGTTCAATTTCCTGGTACATAGTTCTTAAAATCTTTGAAATGATGTATTTTTTTCTCTTGTAGTAAGTGATGAAGAAGAGGAGTTAGTGCATTCACACATTATGGGTCAGGGAGGAGAGTTTCTTGGTGGTTAATGGTGGGTTAGGGGCATAAGAAACTGTTATCCCTTTTCCCCATGATGGTCCCTATTTCAGTTTCATCTATGACTTCAGATTTTTCTTGTGGAGAATGGAAACAATGAAAGATTCTTGTTCTTGGGACTGAGGTGAAGATTAAGTAGATTAAGCATAAAAGGTTCACATAAACTCTAAGGCAGTATGTGGCCCTTAGAAAGCATCCAATCACTGATTTCCATTTTGATGTTTATAATCCTCAAGTTTGAGGAAGCAGATCAATGCCATAAATTATTTAACCTAGTCTTCCTGAGCATTTAGGTTGCTTCCACTTTTTGGGTCTGACAAGCACCGTAATAACCTTGGTATGTGTAATTTTGTGAAATGTCCTTTGTAATACCAATAAAGCAATCTGGCAAGTTTACATACTGGTTTCCAAGCTCTTAAATAAGTATTATTAGATATCCATTGGAAAGGTTATTCTGATAACACACTAATGGCCTTAAATCCCTCTACATATCACTCATAGTAGTTAACATCATCTGGGTTCCTATTTCATAGTGCTCAGTATGTCAAACCTTTAGTGGCATAAGCATATCACTGTAGCCTGTCTGCATACACATAAGCTCCTCCCTGCCCCCCAGAGGGCTGGTCTGAGTAAGCTTGAAATGGCTTGTCCTTGCAGGTGTCTGTGACATTTGAGGACGTGGCTGTGCGCTTTACTCGGGATGAGTGGAGAAAGCTGGATCTTCTCAGAGAAGCTTGTACCACAAGGTGAAGCTGGAGAACTACAGCAATCTGGCCTCACTGGATAAGGAGATTCCCCTATAGATCCGGAATTCAGAAATGGAGAGGTCACAGTTCCTCCTCCCTTGAACAGCTATGACCATCATGAGAACTCAGCCGAGTTCCAGCCAAGGATTATATCCATTGAATCTCGATGAATCTTCAAACTTTCTCTTGCAAGTCTAGGATCATCTGTCCTATGTATGAGAATGGGGGAGGGGGCCCGATGCTGATAATTATCCCCCTTCAATACCCAAGTTCACATCAGAAGTTTCTTCACAGTTACAGCAGCATTTTCTGTGAGCAGAGGTTCCCTCAACCTTCTCCTTTGGCCTATGTTTATCTTCCCACTTCTTTTTTCCAGCCAGTTGAAGACTATATACTCCTTCTTTGAGAAGGAATCAGTGTTTCCTTTTTAAAAAGCTACTTAATACATAATCTTTCCCAAAGATAGCTGCTTTTTAAGCTCAATTAAATTAACTGAAAGCTCTGGTTGCATGTTTATCATATTTCCCTATCGTTAATTTTCCCAAATCGATGTCCTATAAATGGCTTGCCTTTTACCTGCAGACACATCATTTTTTATCATGGGATACATCTTAAACCACCCCACAGAAGCCCTGTGTACCATCCTGAGTGTCCTATTCAAAACTGTGATACCTCCTTGTTTCAAAGCAGGACCAGGTCTTTTATTAGTACTATCATTTTTATTTTTATTACTTTTATTAGTATTATTAGCAGTACTATCATTGTTTCATCTGTGGTCAGGACTCCCATTTGCCAAACCAAAGATGATCTCCGTGCTGCAGTAAGGAGAAGATCTCTGGAAAGTTGAGAAGGAAGGTACTTGGTGTGATTAGGCCCCTCATGTGCCCAGAATCACTGCTGATACAGTCTGGTTAATAATTAGAGGGCACAGCTTCAGGCATTGGTTGGGAACTTCTTAAGGTCCTTAGTCTTCAGCAAGTCCAGGCTCCTGGACATGAGTATCTTCTGGTTCTCTCATAATCACTTCTTTTTAGTGTATGTGCCAGTACCAGAGTTTGAAATCAGGACCTAGGTATTATCCCTGAGCCTCCCCCCCACCCCACCCCCTGCCCCCCTGCAAGGCTAATGCTCTACCACTTGAGCCACAGCTCTAACGCTTTTTTTTTTTTTTGGTGGGTTTTTTGGGGAGCAGTTAATTAGAGATGAGAGTCTCATAGACTTTCCAGCCCAGGCTGACTTCGATCTCAATCTTCAGATCTCAGCCTCCTTAGAAACTAGGATTACAGATGTAAACCTCCAGCACCAGGCTCATAGCTACTTGTAAAGTAAATCTCCCAGGATTTATTTTCTTGTTCTTTGCTGCTGTTTCTCAAGAAGGCTGCATTTTCATGTATTCAATTACCCATGTATATTTAAGGGATTTAAAATAATCTATTCTTGCTGAATCTCAGGCTGTATATAGGAAATAAGGAAGGCATGGAACTGGGAAGCCACATGAGGCCCATATTGTAAGTGCTTTGGTGCAATTCTAAGAGATTTGAACTGACTGGAAATATTTGAGGAACTTAAGCAAAAGAAATTCATGATCCCTAATATTTTAGGAAAACTGAGCTGAGTCAGAAACAAATGTCCTTTAACAAAATAGCTACAGAAGCTCTGGTTTGCCCTTCCATATGGCAGCATGCTTAAAATGAAAAACACACATAGACAGCTTCAATGCAAGTTAGGAGGAGCTGAGTGCTGGCAGCTCATGCCTGTAGTCCTAGCAATTCAGCAGGCTCAGACCTGGATGATCACAATTAACAGGTAGCCCAGGCAAAAAAAAAAAAAAAAGCTAGACTGGAGACCTGGCTTTAAGTGGTTCAGTGGAATATGAGGTCCTTCATTCAAGCCCTGATACTGGCACCAAAAAAAAAAGTTAAAAATAATAAAAAACACGTTACCAAACTTAAAGATAAGAATTTCTGTTTAAAGGAAGTTGCATGAGATCCATGTGAGCACAGAGAAAGGAGAGAAGGATATGCTTTAGCTGGTAACACTAGCTACTTTTGAGATGAATCTGGCAAGAGAAGACTGAACACCACGCTTTCCACTTTTCACATAGAGAATATTGATGAAGTCCTTAAATGATTTAAATGTAAACAACAACACGTTGGAAGCATTAGAAAGTTAGACTGAATGAAGCAAAGCTAAGGTGGGAAGCTCCATGGAATAGGAATAGGCTTGGACACCAGCCCCTACACAAAGGGTTCTAGGGAATGATAGGAGCCAGTTTAATCCAGCATAGTTTGGTGTGGATGGTTTTCATTTGACATTTAACATATGAGTAAAACACTCCTGAAGAGATTGTAGAAGGGCATTTGCATAAGGTAGACAGAGTTGGAACCCAAAGGGGAGCCCAGGGAGCCCTCAGGCTGAAAGTGGAATTTGCTGTCTTGAGCCGACCAAGTAAGGGAACAGAATAGGTAGGATGTTTAAGAGGAGTTGGTCTGGCCCAGCTGGCACAATGGCTCAAACATGTAAACTACTTGGGAGACAAGAGACTGGAGGATCTCAGTTAAAGGTCAGCTGGGGGGTGGGGAGGAGGGGTTTATAAGACTCCATCTCAAATCAGTAGGTAGGTACAATGGTATGTACCTGTCACTGACCTACAGAGCACAATGGATGGGACACAGATTGTTGGTGCTCAGCTTCAGATGAAGATGCATAGAAGGATTAACATTTGCACTGAATTTGGAAGTCACAGAGATGACTGACATGTAGGAAAGGAAGGTAAGATCTTCAAGACTAGAAGTAATTGCAGAAACAAGGAAACTTATGAGTCTATCATAGGCTTTGGCTACCAGATGTTTTCTAATTTGTATCTCTCCTCTGATTCTCTTTCCATTCTGTAATTCTGCTGTTCACTGTGAAGCATTCTTAACCCACCTTAAGTGAGCTTGCTTTATTCCTCTTTGCATTCTAGTAGTTCAGCCATCATCCTTTTATTATTTTTTTACAATAAATAAGTAAATTCAGTGTCAGCTAATCACACTAGCCATTGACAGTCTCTTTCTTCTTACAAATTTCCAGGATATAAGATCAGTCTTCAAACTACAAAGTCAACTAAAACTACTAAGGACTCATCATTTCAGGGACTAGTGAGGAAAAAAGCTGAAGAGGAATGAACCCTGGATCTCCATATCAGGAAAGCCTTGCGTATCTGAAGACAGACTGAAAAAAACAGCAGGACAAAAATGAGAGTTTACAAATAATTCCAATCACCCATATGAAAATCTTTACCATTGACAGTAGCCATAAAAGTTTTCAATGTGACCCAAACTTCAGCCTGAAATCTGCTTTTAAAAAACAAAGGATCGCAGGAGGAAAAAAGAAATTACAGGTATTTAACCAACCAAACTTCAAGGCAGCAGAGAAATGCTATAGATGTAATTTATGTGAAAAAGCTTTCATCCACACTTCATAAACATCTGAAAAACCACACTGGAGAGAAGTTGTTTAAGTGTAAAGAGTGTTTGAAGGCTTTCAGCCAAAAGTTCTGCTCTAACTGAATGTCAAAAAATCCATACTGGAGAAGTAAGCCAGCCCCAAAGAAATATAGGTCCCATGGTTTCCCTTATTTGCAATAACTAGTATATGTCTGAGTCAGAAAGGGTCAGATAAGTTGATGTTAGGGAAATGAACCCTAAAATATGTATTCAAATTTTCTTTCATGCGATTGTTTTCTAACACATTTATAAGATTATTTCTTTGTTGCTTTGTATGTCCCTCCCCCATGGTATAACCCCTGCTTTCACTGTATTTGATGTTGTTTGTGGAGGGGAAGGGAAAAAACAAATCGTTTAAATAGGGATACAGGTGGACCCATTTTAACAATGAGATGTACAAGTCGTTATGTCGAAAACGGACTTTACAACTTTGGTGGGAGGAGGAGGGTTGATGGGGGGGCAGGGGGAAGATGGGATGGGAGGGGAAGCAAAGGTGGAGGCTACGATGCTTGATAAGAAATGTGCTCATTATCTTGCCCATGTAATTGTAACCCCTCTGTAGAATATTTTCACAATAAAAAAAAAAATCCATACTGGAGAGAAACCTTACATATATAAAGACTGTGACAAAGCCTTCTGCCATAACGCATCTCTTTCTAACCTAAACTTCAATCACCTACATGGTAAGAATGTAATAAATTCTTCAGTACTAGGTCTGGCCTTTTTTTTTTTTAACATAAAAAACCCCTTGCTTGAGAAAATCCCCATAGATAATAACCTGGGTAAGAAGCATCCATCTTTTCAGGATGTCAGAGAATTCATTCTAGAAAGAAATCCTATTTGTGTGATGAGTGTGGCAACCCCTACAAGTCTGTCTCATCCCTTCATTATCATCTGAGAATTCACAGTGGAGAGAAACCTTTTAACTGTAGTGAATGTGGGAGAGCCTTGAGTCAGAGCACATCACTTATTCAGCATGAAAGAATTCACACTGGAAACAAGCCCTACAGATGTACTGAATGTGGAAAAGGCTTCACTTCTATTTCACGAGTCAACAGACCAAATAATTCATACTGGTGAGAAGTTTTATAATTGCAATGAATGTGGCAAAACCTTGAGTTTCCACTCAACACTTACTATTCATGAGAGAATTCATACCAAGGAGAAACCATGTGAATGTAAAGTGTGTGGGAAAGCCTTCAGACAAAGCTCAGCTCTCTCTCAACACCAGAGATTGCACTCTGGAGAGAAGCCCTATAAATACAAGTGTGGGAAGACACTTAGATAATACTCATGTTTCAGTAACCACCAGAGTATTCATACTGGAGAGAAACCATATGGATGTGAGGAGTGTGTGATGTCATTTGATCAAAGTGCAACTCTTATTCAGCACTGGATGATTCATACCGGAGAGAAACTCTTTAAATGTAATACATGTGGGAAAACTTTTAGATTAAGCTCACTGCACATTGGAGAATTCACATTAGGGAGCAGCTCTGTGAGGGAAACTCTTCAGCCAGAGGTCATCCCTTACTAATCACTATAAAACTCATGTGGAAGAGGACTCCTAGAAAGCATGCGTGCAAGCCTTAAACCAAAGCTCGTAACAGAATACCCACTTAAGATTGCTTTATTTATATGAATATGAGGAAACTATTGCGTTTTCATCAGATGTCAGAGTCTAAGGGTAAGCCTTGATTGTGATAATTATGGAGAAAATTTTCACACCTGTCAGTCACTTTTTTTTTAAGATTCTGCAACAGACACTACAGTTGCAGACACTGCTGTAGACTAAATTGTAAAGGCGTGTTGTTTTTTTCCTTTTAGTCAGCAGTATACAATATATGCAATATGTACACATGAGAAAATAAGAGTTCAGGAATGCTGGATTTCAAATTATAAGAATGACTCAGCTGCTAGCAGATTTACTAAGGTAATATTTCAAAGCAAGCAAAAGAGTTTCTCTTAGAATTATATGCATTTCTAGAGCAAAGGACCAAATAAAAAGGGAGAGGGGATTCCCTGCAAACTACCTCCCAATGCCTGGAATTTACCTATTCTTAATAAACTGTCAATGTTTTTACATGGTTTTCATTAAAGACAAAAACCTTTATTTTTGTTCTATTTCTAATGTACATCTAAAAGCCATGTTTCCTATGCAGTTTCTAATTATGTACTGCAAATTATTTTCCTTTCTTGTCGTGAGGTCATACATAATAGGAAACTATACTTACTGTATCATGAACAACTTTAGGTAATTTAAGTAGAAATCTGTAGTTCATTTGGGCAATCACTTCTAGATTAAAGCTATTAATACTGTTTTACTTAGTTGCAAAAGAAATCTTAATAGTTTGAAGAAACTGAAATAAGAAAGCCTTGAAAAGGAATCAGTTCATGAAGTATAGCTTATTTTCTTCCGTTGGAGTTTCCTAGTTTTTAAAATTTTTATAATGCAAATAATAAAAATTACAAATTTTGGAAAGTTTATTCAGACAAATATCTGAGATTACATTCCCTTTTATCTGACATGCATGAAGGGAGCTGGTATTCATGGAAACCACTATGATCTTGAAAACCACACAGAAATAAACACACATGTCCTTCTCCTCTCCCCCCACCCCCAGTAAAGGATCTCTCAGGAGGATGAATGTGTATCCTCTTAACTCAATCCACTGTCCTGTTGCTTCTAGCTGCCCTAAACAATCCTGATCACCTGTCTCCTAGATCCTTACTCTGACTTAAGTGCACCCTGAATTAGTCAGAGACTGATTCCTCCAAAGTGAAGCCAGAATACTGCAAAATCCTCCTCTGCTTCCTGGCTCCAATCTCAGAGGCCAGGCAGGAAGAGAACAGCTATTGGGGAAGTGAACCCCTATCTGGGTCCTGATGCTGAGCACCTGCTGGGTTTCCTGTGGGAGTCAAAGTACAAATTCCAGACGCTTGAGAACTGTGATGTGGCAGCTTGCTTCATGATAACTGGAGCCCTAAGTCACGGTTCTGTGATAATGTGTGAGACGTTACCTCTGCAGGTGCATTGTGGGATGAGGAGAGCAGAGAGGATATTGGTCACCTTCACCTCTGAGATAGAAGGGAAGGAGCCAATTCCCTGTAGTGGCAGAGTTCAGCACCAGAACAGGTGAGGTGTGAGCAAGTCCAGGTCACCAAAGCCTCTGCATTGAACACCCAGGAGGGTTGAGCACAAGTCTTGTACTTTCCTGGACCCATGAAATGTGATAAATGATTAATGATAAATGATTAATGATCCGAAATCACTGTTGGACACAGGAGGGAAGACTGCTCCCAAGACGCCAAGATACCGAAACCCTAAAGGAGAAGCACCCATGCTACACCTTCTGTACATACCTCTCCATTAACCAGAGAAAAGAATTGGAAGCAGGTGCCGGGGACAGTCCCAGATCTCTGTGGCTGCACACAGCAGGGAAATATGTCAGGCATTAAGTGATTATCAATCATTACATTAGTCTAGCAATGTACAGGAAACAAGCTGCAAGAAATGCTAGGGACTCTGAAGTTCAGCTCTTGTGTTTGTGTATGGGTATGTGTGCGTGTGTAGTATGTGTACATGGGATCTGTATGGCTTGGGAGGGTGTATATGTAAGTGTAGGTTTCTGTGTCTGTGAGTACATGAGTCTACGGGGAGATGTGGGCCTGGGTGACTGTGGCCTGGAGTCACTTAGATAAGTGAAGGTTTATTATTTTGAGCCAAAAGTCTGCTTATTCTGACAAAAGCATACCTTGAATCTGAAAGGCAGCCTCTCCTGCAGAATGAGTCAGGATGCTGGGACAACCTCACCTTTGCAGGGCAGACTTCCTGGGTCTGTTGTCCAATCTCAGAACCTAGGTTGAAATTCCTTCAGGTGGAAAACCAATCTTGCAGTCTCTGTTCTTGCCCCGCCTTAGCTTGTCAGGAGTAGTCGCTGCCCCCTTACCTGAGAACTTCAAGTGACAAGCCAGGGGACAACCAGGTCCCAGGCTGTGATGGCACTGGGGGGTCAGATGCTAAACAAAGTAGGCCTGGCCCAGCTAGCATCATCTGGCTTTCACCCCCATCCCCAACCAAGTCCCAAGTCAGTAATGTTGCAGATTTACACATAAATGGGGGTGTCCAGCTAAATGACAACACTGGGCTGGGCACCTGTGACTCACACCTGTAATCCTCGCTACTTAGGAGGCTGAGATCTGGGGATTGTGGTTTGAGGCCACCCTGGGCAGAAAAAATATGTGAGACTCTTAATTTCCAATAAACTACTAAAACACCAGAAGTGGAGCTGTGACTCAAGCGGTAGAGCACGAGCCTTGAACCAAAGAAGCTCATGGACAGTACCTATGAGTTCAAGCCCCAGGCAGGACTGGCACAAAAAAAGAATAGTGCTCCCCTCTCTAAAGGAGAATGTGAAACCTGCTCAGCTGAATCCTGGCAACCAGTCATTTCCAGAAATGGAACTGAACCCTGCCCTCACTGAAGTCCCCTCCCTCGTGACAAGACAGGCAGGACTCTGATCTAGAAAAAGCAGAGCAGTGAGCAAAGGCCATGCTGTGGACCAGAGACTACAAAGAAACCCAGGAAAGTGGACTGCCTTTTCCAGCTTCTCCTCTTTCCATGACTCTTGGCTCCTGGCTCTTCCTTAAAGGACCCAAGCCCTGCACACCTGTCTCTCCTGAGCTGGATTCCAGTTTGGGATCATTCACAGAGAGCAGTCCCTGCCCGAGAGCTGTGACCTTCCCTTAGGAGTGGCACGTCCCAGGAGGAATATGGTCAGTTGGATGTCTGGTCATGTTCACCCTTCTGGAACAGGTAAGTGAAGGGTTCCTAAGTGAAGCTTGCTCAACTATCCAGCTAATGTAGTGATATTAAAGGTGGACCACTGATACCAGGGCAGGAGAGCTTGACACCCAGGGAGTGCCCACAGCAGACCCATCTCTGACCTTCAGAGTCACACTGTTCCCTGATATTGCTCCACTCCACCCAACCTACCTGTGTGGAGGCAATATACCCCTCTCACCTGCATCTCTCTGGCATTGAGGTAGTCTTTTGACAAGCACCAAGACTGGAGAAAAGATGAGATGTGCCCTTCCTTTCCAGGCCTGGTTGCCTTTTTTGCTAGCTCAATCTGCTGGCTGGCTTCCTTCCAAAAGCTGGAAGGATCTTCCCCCTTTCTGTTGGGATCTTTGGCTCTATTCAGAGGCAGGCAAACTAGAGTTGTAATCTGAGCAGTGTCCTCATAGAAGGGAGTCGAGGTGCACTGAGCTAGCTGGGTTCAGGGTGAATGGCATGGTGGAGAGTTGGTTCATGTGGGGACAAAGCTTAACGGAATCCATGAGAATGAGGCACTGTACTAGGACAAGGTATGAAAACACCCTGAAATGTGAGATGTGACTGAAGGAAATATTCTGACTCCCTTTATCTGGTTCCCTTTGTTCCACTGGTCAGATTCAAGTTCTGTATGTGATGAACTTGCCTATATTGTGAACTTTACTCACAAGAGAAGTCCTGAAGGATGAAGGTGTGGTCAGGGTGCTGGAAGGAAATAGAGAAGGACATCAATTCTCTTCACTCTCCCGAGCTTCCTGTATACCCCCTCTCTGTCCTGAGACCTGTAGTCTTTTTCAAGTCCAGTCTTGCTCCTTCCCATCACACACCAGGGTTGCAGACCTGAGCTGTTGTCCAAGCCCCAGAAGAACCATTTCCTACATGAGTTCCAGGCTCCCCTACTAGTTTATGAGTTCCTTCTTTCCCTGGGTCAAACTGTCTTCTTCTAAGTTTTCCTAGACTATTGATCATGGAAAGATCTTACATTCTCAGGGATTCCTTTGGGTCTAGGTAGAAGAGAAAGGAGAAAAAGGTGAACAGCTTGCAAATCATTCTGATGGATCTAAAACCACTCATAAACCTTTGACTAAACAGAGATCAATTGAAAGAACCCACTCTCCTGATTGGTCAATGCCCCCAGAGGGCTTTGTTTATTTACAGATGCTTAGTAAAATACTAATATATCTGTTTTCTTGGAATCTCTAAAGAGTAGATTCCACTAGAGTCTTAGCCATTTTTCTTTAGTATACAACAGGTGTTTATTCCATTTTATTTGATGAATGAAGCATAATATATTTTCATCTCTACTTGTTCAATGAACTTTTCTTTCTAAAATCTGTCACCTACAGAGTTTAAGGGATAGATGTTGATTTTCTCAAGGTGGATGCAGGAGACTGCAAAAAGAACAAAAACAAAAACAAAAAACAGCCCTTTTTTAACCAGTTCTGGGGCTTGAACTCAGAGCCTGGGCGCTGTCCCTGAGCTTCTTTTTCTCAAGGCTAGCACTCTACTACTTGAGCCACAATGCCACTTCTGGCTTTTTCTGAGTAGTTTGTTGGCAATAAGGAGTCCCACAGACTTTTCTGCTTGGGCTGACTTTGAACCATAATCCTCAGATCTTAGCCTCCTGGGTAGCTAGGATTATAGGCATGAACCACCATACTGGCAAAATCTTTGCTTTTAAAATAGTTTGTGTGACTGACTCCTGTGTGAGCTACAACCTTCTGATCTGTCTGCCCATGTGAGCAGCCTGTGTTTGATTCTGTGGAAGGTGGTCTCCAAGATCCCCAAACTCTATATTCCAAACTTCCAATCCCCTATTGTCTGCTTGCCTGGTGCACTGCCCCATACCTTTGTATTCTGGTATTGGTCACCACTGCACACTGGAAATGCTCAGTCCCTAGTCCCAGGAACCTTCAGAGACTGTGCCCTGCTATTGCTCTGGTCACAGCTAGACAAGGAAGGACATGGGTAACTGAGACTTCCTGATATCCATAAGGAGGCAGTGCCGGCAGCCTCAGAGAAATGCCGTTCAGGGACCTGACTCAGCACTTGTGAAGAGCCCATCAGAGTTGAGCCTAGTACACAAATGGCTTCTACACTCCCTTCTTTGAGGATCCTGCTCAGATGTACCTCTAGCCTACCTGCCTCTGAACAATGAGTAGACCAATATTCCCAAGGTAGGCAGCTCAGGCTCCAGCAGTCAATGGTTTCTGCTAAACAGGATTGTTTTTTACCATCCAGACAGAAACATGGACTCTCCCTCTGGGGTTTAAACTTTGGATTCTCTCACATACCCACCATGTAATTCAAGATTCATATTTATTCCTAATGCTCTATTTCTCCATCCATGACCAGGAATGATGGTATCGCTTATCTAATAGGGTTAAAAGGATATGAAGTGAGATAAGGCACACAAAGGATCCAGACCAGGCAGACTTACAGCTACAGTGTGACTCTGTGGTTAAAGTTGGGAGAGAGGAAGAAGCAGCAGTGGAACAACTTCTGCTGGGACCTGAACAAGGCCGGAACCTTCACCAAGAACACTGGGAGCTGTTCAGGAAGCTTCCCACTGATCCTGCCATGAAACCATCACAGGAGTACTGGGAGGTAGGTAACATGACTTGCTCATTGCAAAATGCAGAGACCTGGGGCCTCCTTGTTCCCATTCTAGGGAGCTGAGATGGCCCCCACGCATTGGAGGGGCTGTTGGCCCATTTTTCCTATGTGCAGGATGAGTCCAAGCCATGGGACTGGATAAAGAGCTGCCTAAGAGTATAGCTGTAGCCTGGAGCAACCTCAAATAGAGAGTTTGCAGGGGGTGTAGGTTTCTAGGAAGCTTGTAAATGGCAAGAGGCTGCACTTGTGAGATCAGTGATAGCCATGAAATTTGTTCCACAGATGGAATAGCGGTCCTTACAGATGAGACACCTGGACATTCCAGAAGAAGGACAGGCCAGGTCTCCAGCTGCTCCATGGGATCCCCTGGGTGGGACCTATGGAGCAGAAAGGCTCTGTGTGGCTTAAATGCTGCTCTTCAGCCAAAGCACTGATCTTGAATTTTTAAACTTTTTTAGACATTAGTGGTGATGCACAAAAAATGTAATAGACTTTTCAGGGGAAGGGCTAGAGTGGACTCTCCTAGTTGTGTATTACAAAGGCCAGCTGCTAGGAACAACATGGGCATTGCCATCTTGGCTAGAACCCACGAGGTCAGCCCAGCCAATTCCCTTCTCAATCCTGCTCCATAAATGTTTCATGTTATTGCAAGGATTCAACAAGAGAAACCTATGTGTACAGAACGGTTGAATGACCGTATCAGCAGTAATATTAATACATAACAACCTGAAAATCTTGACATTTACTAAAGAAACAGTGAAGGATGATTTGGAAACGTTGTTTTGCTTTGTCTGTTAAAGTTGATGGGGGTAGGTATTTATCCTATGTGTGCTTATTGGTGAATGCCCTCTTCATTCGACAAGAAAAAAAATACCTTGAGAAAAATGTGCTATTATTAAAAAGAATTAAGCTATTCTTGACCCATAAGGACAACCTCAGTAAGAACTTGTAGGTACTCACCAATGAGTTGCTGGGTCTGGAGAGTTACCACCAGCTGGACTTCTGGTTGGTTAAGCCCATACATTTGAGCTGAAGCAAGAACGTGTGCTCCCATGGAGTATCCTGACTGATATTCTGCTACAAGTCCAAACATTCTTGCTTTGGAGATAGATCTGTCAAGGGTTCTAACAGTCTGTAGAGCAAGCCTAAATGTCTTCCTACTCTTGAAGGATGTACAAAGGTCCTGAATGGCTGTTCATTTCCTCTGTGCAATTGATATGTCTTTGTTATCTTTCATTGCAGATTTAAAAGCCTGGCCATAGGAGTTGAAGCCTGTTGATTCCTGGGTCATCTTGTGTCTAACTCCCATGTTCCTCTGCTTCTGCAGGCCATCCCACTGCTTACCAATGTGGTGGAAGACCCCATGTCACATGATACTCTATCATCTATATCCTTCCATGCTGCCATGTCATTCCATACGGGCTGGAGCAGGTTACCTGAAGAGGTCAGCAGGAACATTGAGAGGGCCTTGAAAGAAGGGAAGTTGCCAGAAGTGGTCCCTGTCGTGAGGGAGACCATGGAGAGAGTGTCTAGAACCCCAGTGAGCATCGCAGTGACCGGGGACTCGGGTAATGGCATGTCATCCTTCATCAACGCGGTTCGAATCATTGGACTTGAAGAGACTTTGGCACCCACTGGGGTGGTGAGGACCACCCAGACACGGGCTGGCTACCCTTCCTCCCGCTTTCCCAATGTGGTGCTGTGGGACCTCCCTGGCCTGGGGGTCACAGCCCAAAACATGGAGAACTATGTGGATGAGATGCAATTCAGCCAATATGACTTCTTCATCATCATTGCGTCTGAGCAGTTCAGCACAAATCACATGAAGCTTGCCAGAATCATTCAGGAGATGGGAAAGAAGTTCTATGTTGTGTGGACCAAGTTAGACAGAGACCTCAGTACAAGTGTTCTCTCAGATACACGGCTCCTGCAAACTATCCGAGAAAATATCCGAAAAAATCTCCAGAAGAAAGGGGTACATGTACCCCCCATATTCCTGGTATCCAACTTTGACCCTTTACTTTATGACTTTCCAAAGCTCAGAGATACACTGAAAATAGACCTCTCTAACATCAGGTGCAGTGGTCCCTTAGATATCCTTTCCCACTTCTGTGAGGAGATCATTAATGATAAAGTGACCTCCCTGAAGAGGAGAGTGGCCAAAGAATCTTTGAAGAACTCTCTTGGCATCAAGGATGCTGATGACTTGGGGGAGGTTCTGGAAGCCTACCATTTGCTCTTTGGTGTGAATGGTGAATCACTTCGTCAGGTGGCTAAGAGTATGGGAAAAGAAGTAACAGAGTACATGGCCATCATGAAGTCCCAGGATTTGCACACCCTCTGTGGCAGGGACTGGAAACTAAAATCCATGACTTGTCTAGTTACGAGCGTGCTTCTCAGCCCATTTTGGTATATTCCATTCTTGGGTGGCCCTGTCATCCGCTTCTTCAGACACATGAGATGCAGACGCATTCTTGAGTTAATTGCCCAGGATACCAAGACCATCCTGAAAAAAATCCTGGAAGATTCCATCATCTCCACTTGAAATTCAACTTTGGAAATGATCTGGAACACTTTTTCCTCACATGGATTCTCTTCTTGGATGGATCCCTGTTTGGTCAGTTAAAAAAAAAATCAAGAGATATAAGTTTCTAAGGGCTTTAAATTCATTGAAAGGAGTTAAGAAAACTGTTCATCTCACTAGCCTCAATTGTAACCCACTGGTTTTTTTTTTGGTCAGTCCTGGGGCATGAACTCTGGGCTTGGGCACTGTCCCTGTACTCTTCAGCTCAAGGTAAGCGCTACCACTTGAGTCACAGCACCACTTCTGCTAAACCACTGTTCTTTTGAAGAGCAAGTACCTGTTGAAATTACTAGCCAAGTGTCCTGCATTCTGCATATAGAAATATTGCTTGGGGTGATCAATATGTCTAAATAAGTTTATATTTTCATGTAAAGCATTAAAATGAATCTTCTTCATTAAAGTCTTTTGTTGTCTTTTCCTTCCTTTCCCTTGATACTCCTGGTGGTGACTCAGCTGGTATAGTGGGGCACTTAGAAATTTGGGAGCCGAGGGGACTTTGGTGATAGCTGTTCTTCAGATGCTTTTGAATGCTGGGGTCAGGACTCCAGGCAGTGCCCCTGCCCTAAAGGTTAAACACACACATTTTTTTATTTTTAACCAAGTGCCTACAACCAATCACTATCTTAAAAGGGAGTGCAGATATATGAGAATCAAAGTTCTGGCAGTGATTCCAGAAATTCAGTTCCTTAAACTCAATGCCACTCACAAATAATCAGAGTTTGGGAGTAGAGGATGTTTATTAGTTGTGTCAGGCAAAATGAGGTCTTTATACACTGCCATAATATTGAGGGGGAATAAAAGCACAGTTTTAGTCCCATGGGGGAGAGGATACTTTTAATTTTTAAACAATTGTTATTATGGAGTTGTACAAAGAGATTTCAATTCAACGTTAGTGCATCTTTATGAAAAGCTCAGGAACATGGGCTTCCGTTTGTATGAGCCGAGGTATGACTTCCAGGCCAGATGGTGGCCTTGAGGGTGCTTATTTCCTGATGTACAGACATTAGTCTCCAGAATTACATTCCTTGCTGTCTTGTGGTCAAAAAGAGATAAGGAGAAGAGCTTGGTGACCTTGTCTAGGGTCATTGCCAAACTTTAAGCAGGATCACTGGGGCAGAATTTGTGAAGGCTGTTTCTTTGAAATGTGTGAGTAGGGTGCAAGTATACCAACAAGAAAAAGTGTTGACCCCTGAGCAAGCGCAGTACAAAGTGGTCTCCTCAAGGCTTATAAGGGCAACATTTTGGTCTATTTTCTGGTGCTACAGTGACATACCTGAGGCTTCACAACTAACTGAGAAGGAAATGAGGTTTATTATTAGTTCACATTTTTAGCCTCATCAGTATAGCCTCTGGTGAGGGCCTCATTGTGGATGGCATCAGAATGGCAGGAGCAGGAACAAGTATAGAAGAGATCACACAGAAGACAGGAAACCAGAGGTTCAAGGACCAGGCTCTCCCCCCCTTTTTTTTTTTATAACAACACATTCTTATGAAAATAACTTAGTCCTAAAGACCACACTTCCTAATACAACAGCCATGACTTCATGACCTTCCATTAGGCTCCACCTTTTAAAGGCTCTACCATTCCTACACCACTATATTGGAACCAAGCTTCTGGCACATTCACTTTTAGAACACAGCCAAAACTTATCCTGACAATAGCAGTGAATAGAGGGGCAAAATATTGGCCTGTGAAGATTGCGGCTATGTACAACAGCAATCTGGCAGCTTAGAGAATTAAACTCCTGGCCTCAGCCCCTCCTTCTTTTCCTGCTTGTGAAACCCATTAACCAACTCCTATGCTATGAGAAGGTGAAAGCCTGAATAGACAAAGTCTTTTCAGATTAGCCATTTGGTGATTCCCAATAAAATAGAAAAGGTCAGAACAGAAGGTATAATTATCTCTTGAGTATATGGAACATGTTTGCAAATTAAGAGAATGGCACTGTTTTCTTAAGAAAACTCAGACAAAATACTTAAGACAATTTTGATCTTAAGACATCAAAGGTGAGTGAGGAGTAATTTCATGTAATATCAAGAGCAAAAGACATCACAGGATTCTTGTTAAAACTGGCAGTTAGGCCCTGGTGGCTTATACATCTCCAGAGGCTGAGATTTGCAGACCACAATTGAAAACCATCCTGGGCAGAATCCAGAATCCATTAGATTCTTATCAACGATTAGCCAGCAAAAATGCAGAAGTGGAGGTGTAACTCAAGTGGTAAAGCACTAGCCTTTAGGAAAAGAATCAAGTGAATGCATGAGGCCCTGAATTAAAGGCCCAGGACCAGCATGCACGCACACACACACACAGATACACACACTGGCTTGGGAGAAAGCCTAGTCAAAAAGATGGGTCTATGAGCCTGTCCAATGTTTGATTCAGGACTTTGTCTAAGCAAAAGTAAATGGCAGAAGAAATTAGCAGGGTTGTTTTTTGTTTTGCCAGGCCAGTCCTGGGGCTTGAACTCAAGAGCTTGGGCACTGTCCCTGAGCTTCTTTTGCTCAAGGCTTAGCACTCTACCTCCTGAGCCAAAGCATCACCTCTGTCCCTTTCTGTGTATGTGGTACTGAGGAATCGAACCCAGGGCCTCCTGCATGCTTCCCAAGCACTCTACCACGAAGCCACAGTCCCAGCCCTAGCAGTTTTAAATTAAACCAAATGTCACATTTCAAGTTCCAAAGTGGCAGATCCAACTCAAACTACCTGAACACGGGCCACACATTTAACTGACAGAGAGGCTGGCTTCGTAGACCACGATAACTTGAAAAACTTAGCAGCCTGAGAGCGCTCTAGGGCACTGGACATGACAGCTACAACTCTCGGGGTGCCCGTTAAGTATTTACTTACTTACTTCCTCTAGCCTCCTTTTATTTTACAGCCAAGGCCTAGCTGCCCGTTCTCCCCGACGACTGGCTCTGAGGAGAGGTGCATAGCAGTAGATTTAAGGAGCCCGCCCGGGTCGGCTTCCCACAGACGCATCTCCTCCCCGCTCCCCGCCACCTCGCGCCTGCGCATTGGGATATTGGGAGACGCCCGGCCGCGGCTCCGTGGCCTTGTGGGAAATGTAGTCCGACGCGCCGGGCGCGGCTGCGTGTGTCCGCTAGCCGCTATGGCTCCTACAGGACCAGGGTGAGGGCAGCGTCTCTCGGGCGCAGTCCGCGAATCTCAGAGGCTTTCAGAGGAGGAGCGCTGACCGCAGGGCGAGGCCAAAAGCGGACCGAGGGGCGGAGCCGGCCGCGGATGGGCTGGGAGAGCGTCCTCCGCACCCCCGCGGGTCGCCGGGCCACAGAGCTGCAGGTGCGCCCCCTCACGCCCCGGACGCCAGGCCGCGGGGAGACCACCGGGGCCCCGAGTGTCGACAGTTCGGCCCTCCCACCTGTCCCGGGAGGGCTCCGGGCTGGGGCGGGGCCCGAGCTGGGGCGGGGCCCAGCAGCGGGGTGGGCGGCACTTGGCGGAGTGGCTCGGGTTCTGAGGGATCTGTGAGGGAGGGGGGGGGTGGCAAAGGCTCCAGGGGTCGCGCGCACCCGGAGCTGCTCCGCGCGGGCTTCCGTGGGGTCCGCGCATCCCCATCCCGGGACGCGCTGCCCGCGTGTGGGGGGACCTGCCCCCCTCGGAGGCCTGGGGCGGGGCGGGGCCGGGCGGGAGGGGCGGGGCCGGGCGGGAGGGGCGGGGCCAGACCTGACGCTGGGCTCCTGTACCTGCGCTTTGTGCCAGCCACATCTTGGGGACCTGCCCTCAGCTTTCTGATCCCAGGAGTGCAGGCTTTGGGAATCCTCGCCCTAAGAACGTCAACCTTGGCCAGATTTAAGGATTTTTTTTTTCTTTTTCTGTCTGTCTGTGTGTGTGTGTGTCCCGGGCCTTGGCCTGGGCACTGTCTCTGAGTTGGCATTCTGCCACGTGAGCCACAGCTCAAATTCCACTTTTGTTGTTGTTAATTGTGGATCAGAGTCCCACGGACTTTCCTGCCCAGGCTGGTTTCAAACAAACGATCCTCAGATCCCAGCCTCCTGAACAGTTAGGATGACAGATGTGAGCCACTGACACCCAGCCTTTTTTTTTTAAATTTTTTTTTCTTTTTAAATGTTCACGATAGGTCAGTTTGAAAACTCAGATGAACAAAATCATTCAAAAATCTCTAAAACTCTGCGTGTGTATGTATAAATAGGGATCATTTTGTTTAAACGGAATGTGAATGTTATCTTTCTCCATTTGCATTTTAAAATTGAGTTAGCAAATGCATCTGGGAAGTGCACAAGTAAAACTATTAATTTTTACTCATGTTACTATCATTCTATGAGGATAGAAAATAGGCTTTAAAAATCTGTTCCATAGAAATGGAAAAAAATCTGTTATGTTGAAAACATCTACTTATGCCAGTTTTTCAAGAGCAGCTTAACTAAATCTGATGTGTTGAAAGCATATGTTGATGAGTTTGAAGGAGAAGAGGACTGTATCATATTTAATTCTCCTTTTAGGCCTTTGGATCTTTTTTTTCTCCTTCTACCCCCCCCCCCCCCAGTAGCAGGGTTTAAATTCAAAGTGTCCTGCATTCAGGGCTGGTGCCATACAACTTGAGCCACACCACCAGCCTAGGCTGGGTTTGAATCATAGCCTCTTGAGCTGCCAGGACAGCAGGCATGAGCCACAAGCATCCAGTTGTTGTTGTTTTTTAAATAAATGATACAGGTATTCCCATCTAGTTATGGTAGTCTTTGCATTATGTCACATTTTATATATTTCTTAAAGAGAAATGTCTAAGGGTACAGTTTGGCTTTTGATTCCTCCTGTCTTATTCTGTCCAGAGAAGTTGCAATTTGTACCAACAGTTGCGGTGTGAGAGTCCCTAATTAACTCACAACAACTTTGCATTTGTGTTGTCTTTTACTTCTGAGAGGTACAAATGATAGAGTGTTTAAATTGCATTTTGAATACCCATGGAAATTTTTATGCAGTTTTCTCTGTGTGTGTGTGTGTGTGTATTCATATGTATGTGCGACCCTGGGCCTTGTGCCTGCTAGGCAAGTGCTCTACCACTCAATCCCAGTTTTATTGTTTAATTTTACATCTGCTAGATAAGCATGTTTTTCCTGTGCAAGCAAGCATTTTCTATGTTCATATGGTCAGATATTAAAACCTTTGATGTTTGGATTTTAACATCCTTGTTAGGGTGGCCTGTTCTGTGAGATCACAGAATTATTCATCTACTGCTTTTACTACTATCATTTCATTCATGTGTATATTTTCTTTTCCAAATGGCAAGACTTTGTCATGTTATTGATCCTTTCTTCAACTGATGTGAATTATCACTTTTTCAATATTCACTCACTGTCTCCAGTATCTCATTCTTTCTCTTTCCCTATCACTCTTCTGGGGGTAAAACCCAGGGTCTCATGTATACTAGACAAGTAATCTACCACTGAGCTCCCATTCCAGTGTATAAATACACATGTACACACACATTACATATACATATAAACAGACATATACATATATGTGTATATATACAGTATGTATAAATATATATACATTTTTCCTGACTCATTTATGATGGTAAGATTTAATCCCATTATCATAAGGAAGTCTACCTGTTTTATTTACAACTACAGTCACTACCTTTGGAGTGGTCCCGCTACACAGTAGGAGGTTGATAGTTACATTTGACGTTTCTGCTTATTTGGTAATACTACCTTCCAATATATTTAACTCTTAAGATGGGCAAGGTGTGTCTCATTAGATTCTTATTATTTAAAACATTTTAATTTAAAACATTTTAATTGGCATAATGTATACACTGTATAAGTATATATACTTGTGTATGTGTGTATAAAATCAATTCAGGATGACTAGCATATTCATGACTGCAGAGATTGTCATGTGTTTTGTGTTGGGAACATTTTAAAATCCTTTTTTCTAGTTTTTTGGAATAATATGGTAAATTATTGTTTACTCTAGTCATCCTACTGTAATATTAAATGTTCCTATTTTTAGTAACTATAATTTGTGTTTTGTTTTGTCTTCTTTTGTTTGCCAGGCCTAGGGCTTGGACTCAGGGCCTGGGCGCTGTCCCTGAGCTTCTTTTGCTCAAGTCAAGTGATCTACTAATTAAGCCACAGCACCACTTCTGGCTTTTTTCAGTAGTTTAGTGGAGATAAGAGTCTCATAGTTTCCTGCCCAGACTGGCATTGAACCATGAGCCCCAGATCTCAGCCTCCTGAGTAGCTGGGATTACAGGCATGAGCCACTGGTGTGAGGCTTATAACTGCTTTAATAGCTATTTTGTACATGATAACCAATCACTCTTTAACCCACACCACCCTTCACAGTACTGAGTGCCTCTATTTCTACTTTCTGCTTCAATGAGATCAACTTATTTAGCTTCTTTGTATGAATAAGAAGAGGTGGTATTTGTCTTCATCGGTACTCTTTTTCAAAAAGAATCCTGGCTATTGTGTAACACAATTACCTTTCATAAGTTTTTTTCCATAATTTGAAACTTCGTTACTTAGGTGTAGCGTGGATTAAATTATATAGATTCATTTTAAAGACATGACAGCTTAGAATACCGAGACATCCTCTCCAGTAGTGCAGCACATTTCTTTGTGTTCATTTTGGTTTCTAAAGAACTTTAACAAAACAAATCTCATAGATAAAAATGGTCATTTTACTTATTCAGGTGTCCTGAAGCTCATACGTCATTTTTTTGCAGGTGTTTTGTTGTTGTTACAGGAGTCTTTCTTCTCATTGCTTCCTTTCCTTCCCTTGGCTTCGTCTCCTTTGAAGTTTACACAATCTCTAGGAAGGACACACCAGGAAGGATCCTACAGAAAAGATCCCATAGAGAGGAGCCCATGGGAATGACAGCAAAGACAATGGCTGCTAGGTCTTGCTCCTGGGAGTGCAGGTAAGCTCATTTTTCTTTCAGACTTCTTTCTTACTTCCATACTGTGTGTGTGCTATAGATATGCCATTAGGCTGGGTTTTGTTTTGTTTTACGACTCCCTCTTCAGTATCCCTACTGGGTTACCTTGAGTTCTTGGAAGTATTTGAAGCTGCGAAAGGGGAAGAAGTCATATGAAAGGTAGTCCTGGTGCTTATAGGCTTATGGGTTATCAAGACTCATAAAAGAGGCACATCTGTACAGGATACAGTCATAACGATTGCACCTGGAAAGGGCAATAAGAACAAGTATGGTTAGGTGCCCAGATCATTAGTGATTCAATACCTAGAGAAGGGAAAGATGAGGATAAGGAGGAGGAGAATTAAGTGTTTTCCCATCACACAGGGAAGAGACATCTAGAAGAAAGGATTTGCTACAATGGAAAACTCTACCACCTAATAGCTGCATTGTACTGGGCATATGACTTGCCTTTCTGAAGCATCACTTCCTCTTGGTGATAGAATAACAGCACTGACTTTACGTCAGCCATACTCTTGGCATCATTAGGAATGGCTCACGGTTCATCTCATTTAATAATGCATACTTCATACATTTCCTGAAAGTTCAAATAAAATGAAATGAAAAACGCCTCGCCTGGGGCTTGGAACATGGGAGGTATTCAGAAAGTGTAAGCTACTTAGTATTATCCCAGCTAACAATAACTTGGTATGTTAGGGTTTTGGTGTGAGGAGGAGTGAATGTAGCAATGACTGATAGGAGACCTGCTTGATGGGAGTAGAGAGACTCAGACAAATGTTGGGGTCAAGTGCCAGGAAGGAGGAGTTTGTGTGTTCTTTCACAAGGGAAAGGTTTGAATGTTGCCCTAGGAGCAGGAAATCTCCATTAGAGGACAAACTATCAGTCATGAAAATGATATTCTTTCCAGATTTCCTTAGATATTTTTACTGCCAAATTAGTCCACCTGTTAGTCCTCTTGGTGCCCTGTCTAATCTAAGAAGAGAAAGCAGCCTTTGAATACTCTGCTCAGCTCAATTTACACATCATACAGACCTACATGGGAGGTTTTCATGTCACTTTTTCTTCTCCTGACATTTTTTTTTCTTCTTAAAATTTATTTCCTAAATCTATGCATTGTTTCCAAACTTAGCTTTTTCTATGTTCATCTATCTTTCAGTAGCGGCTGTCCTTCCTGGATTTTGTCATTGTCTAGCTGTGCTAATTGATTTGAGTTTGTACTTTATGTTGTGTTGTGGGTAGCACTTGAAGAATTCCCAAAGAATCTGTGTAGATGGATTTTCCCATGGTGCCATGGGGGCAATTCCTGTTGTCTGCTCATATTTTCATACTCTATTGGATAGATATTCTCTCAGGAGTTATTTGATGGGGTGTGGGTCTTGGAGCTGGAACTTGTTTAACTTTCCTCTTGACATTTTTCTGTAAGGCAGTTGGGTTGGAAGGAAGAGGTCCAGTTAATGACTAACCCTTTCTCCCTCGTCTACCTTGCGTATACAACCTTTGATTCATTGGCTCAGTGGTAAGCTCTGTTCTGTTGACTTTGATGGGTAATTATAAATCTGATTCTCAGATTGCAGTTTCTTGTTATCTATCCTGTGAGACACCCACCTCTTCCCACTCAGAAGTTCAAAGGATTTTCCATTGCCAGCCCTGATTTTCACAGAAAGGATATTTAGAAAAGGTTAACCCCTTTACAACTTGTTTATATCTGTCAGTAGATTGCATCATTTTCTCTCAAAGACTAACGCTTCAAGTATATTCTGGTACATCGTGTTTCAGACAAGTATTTTCTCAAGTGCAATTTATATACATTATCTTCTTTACTCTTTATCATATTACTTTTATCTTATTTTATAACTGTGAATACTCAGACCTAAATAGAAAGCAGTAAACATTTAAGATGGTATTAAAATTCAAAATTTGAGCCATTTTTTGTGATTCTAGGGTAAGCATTTTTTTTTTTACTGTTTATATTAATTTGATGTAGAACCCTAAGCAGTTTGACAGGAGGGAAGAAAATGCTGTTATGAGCTTTCTGACTTACTTCTCATAAATCTCATCTCTTCTGCATAGTATCTTTTAATTTCAACTTCATGATTGTTCATCCCCTGCTTCTATCCACTCACTTTAATATACAGGCTCACTGTACCTTTCCTCTCTTATAAGTGTTCTATGTAAGTGTAGCTGTCTTTGAAATCCCTGCCTAATACTTATTTTTGTTTCATTGCCTCATTCCTTCCTTACCCATTTTCCAGTCTCCCAACACAAAACATTTGAATTCTTTTTCAGACTGGGGGACAAGACTTGAGACAAAAGAATCAACTCCAAATCCCAACATTCCTGAATATTTATCCTATTGGACCACAATGGAAAGGGAACAAGTCTGGAATTCAACCTGGGAAGCTGACAGATGGTTAGAGAGGGAGCAGGACAGACATGTGGGCCAAGTAGCAGTTACCCATAAGGAAACCTATACTGAGAAGAGCATGTTCAGAGATAATGAATTTGAAAGAGGTTCTGATCAGGGCTCAATCCTTGATATTCCCCAAAGCATTCCTATGTCAAAAAGGCCCCCAAATTGGAATTTACATGGAAAAGATGTGAAACAAAATTCTGAGTTAAAACTCATGAAAACGCAGAGAATGTTTGTAGGAAAGAAAATCTATGAATGTAATGAGTGCAGGAAAACCTTCAGCCAGAGCTCATCCCTTCTTAAGCACCAGAGGATTCATACAGGGGAGAAACCCTATATGTGTAACGTTTGTGGCAAGCACTTCATCGAACGCTCCTCCCTCACTGTACATCAAAGAATCCATACTGGAGAGAAACCCTACAAGTGTGATGAATGTGGGAAATCCTTCAGTCAGAGCATGAACCTTACTGTTCATCAAAGAACTCATACTGGAGAGAAGCCCTATCAGTGCAAAGAGTGTGGAAAAGCTTTCCGCAAAAATTCATCCCTTATTCAGCATGAAAGGATTCATACGGGAGAGAAACCATACAAATGCAATGAATGTGGGAAAGCTTTTACACAAAGCATGAACTTAACTGTTCACCAGAGAACACATACAGGAGAAAAACCCTATGAATGTAATGAATGTGGAAAAGCCTTCAGCCAGAGTATGCATCTTACTGTACATCAGAGGAGCCATACTGGAGAAAAACCTTATGAGTGCAGTGAATGTGGAAAAGCATTTAGTAAGAGCTCAACTTTAACTCTACATCAGCGGAATCACACTGGAGAAAAGCCCTACAAGTGTAACAAGTGTGGAAAATCATTTAGCCAAAGTACATACCTTATCGAACATCAGAGACTTCACTCTGGAGTGAAACCTTTTGAATGTAATCAGTGTGGAAAAGCTTTCAGTAAGAATTCCTCTCTTACTCAACATCGAAGAATTCATACTGGGGAGAAACCTTATGAGTGTATGGTCTGTGGGAAACATTTCACTGGAAGATCATCCCTTACTGTCCATCAGGTTATTCACACTGGAGAAAAACCTTATGAATGCACTGAATGTGGAAAGGCCTTCAGCCAGAGCGCATACCTTATTGAGCATCAAAGAATTCACACTGGAGAAAAGCCCTACGAATGTAATAGGTGTGGGAAAGCCTTCATTAAGAACTCGTCCCTCATTGTACACCAGAGGACTCATACAGGAGAGAAACCCTATCAGTGTAATGAATGTGGAAAAGCCTTCAGTCGGAGCACAAACCTTACAAGGCATCAAAGGACTCATATGTGAGGAAAGTTTCCATTGGCCTCCTGATGCTAATTAACTCTTCATTAATAATCAGTAAAGTCATATTGGTGTAAACTCCTAAGAAGTGTAACAAAGATGGGAATCTTTTGATTGAAATGCAATATGTCATGTAAGATAGTACAAACCACAGCATAGGAACCATTATAAAAATGGAGATCACCTTTATTCAGAAGGTAAAACCTATTTTATATCAGAAGGTTTGAATAGCTAATATATAAATGATGAAGATTTATGATGGAGATAAGTTCTATTGTGTCACACTGCAGATTCTCCTTTGGACATCACAGAGTTCACACAGGAGAGAAAATATGACAGTACTTGGTTGGACAGACACACCTGGTATGTAGTTCTGATCTGCAACTAACCTGCACAAGTTACCACTTTTTACCAGGTTACACTTTCCTTATCTAGTAAATGAGATATTGTAGATTTAGCATGCCTTCAAAAATTTCTGTTAGCTAAAATGTTAAAAAAAAAAAAAAATCACACTGGTGGCCAGACACCCGTGGCTCACGCCTGTAATCCTGGCTACTCAGGAGCCTGAGATCTGAGGATCACAGTTCAAAGCCAGCCTGGGCAGGAAAGTCTGTGAGACTCTTATCTCCAATAAACCACTAGAAAACCAGAAGTGGTGCTGTGGCTCAAGCGGTAGAGTGCTCCCCTTGAGCTGTAGAGCTGAGGGACAGTGCCCAGGCCCAGAGTTCAAGCCCCTTGACTGACAAAAAAAAATCACACTGGGAAGCTATTGGTGTTTTATTCTGTTATATGTATTGTCTTGATGCCTCTCTTCCACAGTCTGGTTTCTGGATGTTTTGCCAAATTTCTCTACCTCTACTAACTCCTGTTTACCACTCCATGTCGTTCCCCTCTTTCTTCATTACTTTCTCCCCTAAAACATAGTCTGGTTTCTACCAGGTGATACACTAATCATATAAATCTTAATGAAATAGCATGCTGTTTTTAAATTCTTAATTGATAGCCATTAAGCTTTTGTTAAGCTATTTAGAAGACAATGTAATTTAAATATGGACTTTAAGCACATGAGTTAAATAATATTTATCTTCATGTCATTTGACAGTCAGAGTGGAAAGGAGAAGAAAGAGGGGTTGAACATAAATATAAAAAATTCACATATGAATAGAAAGTTTGTAACTTAAGACATGTTCAGAATAACCATAAGAATAGTTTATAGATGCATCATAGTGTGAGTAGGTAGAATAGTTTCCTTTTTTTCATATTTATCAAGACCTAAATGTGCACCAGATATATTTAGGAAGTCAAAGTAAATAAAATACATTTTTTAACTTTCAAAGGACTATACTAACAAATAACATGTGAGAAGAAAGGAGAATGAATGAGGCTGAATCTAGCCAAAATTGGTGGCCGGTTGAGATAGATCTATTTGAACAAGAAGGAGTCTTGGATTCTTATTTGATTAGATTAAATGCCACAATTAAAACCACACAAAAGTGGCTGGTTATGTGAAGGCATTGATGTGTTGTTTGAATATTCTGTTGAGTCTGTGGTCATCTCAAGAAGATTCTTGAGAAAAAAATAAGTTAGTGAAAAAAAGCCAAACATATGGAGGCAAAGAAGACGGTTGTTTCTGAGGATACAGTTAGCTCAGTGCTTCATTTGCCTTCTTAGCCTGTTTTGATGACTCAGTTTGTATTTGCGTATAGTCAAGGAGCCCTAGGACCTGCATTCTGAGATAAAGGATGCAGTGAATATGAGTAGAGAAGCTCAGTGTCATTCCCTACAAGCCTCAAACTCAGAATGAGAGAAAGGGTGCTGTCACTCAGGGTATACTGACAAAGAATACTCAGAGCATAAGTATCTGGGAGAAAAGACCTCCATTATGTTACCCTCTTCTGAAGACTAAACCTTTCCTTCAGAGTCCATTGGCAGATAGAACTGTGGTTTTCATGATATTTGAGAGTCATGAATAGTTGTTTTTGTTTTTGTTTTTGTTTTTTGGTGTGACTTGAGATAGACCTTGTGGTAACTAAGAACTATTATCAGCCAAGGTTGTCTGTGCTCTGTACCTTTCCCTTTTTCTATCCTTTACCCCTCATAGCATGGCCAGAGAACATGGGCTTCTATCTCTTCATTCCACATTCCTTTTTTTTGGGGGGGGGGGATCTGGTCGTGGGGTCTGAACTTTGGGCCTGGGCACTGTCCCTCAGCTCTTCAGCTCAAGGCTAGCAGTCTACCACTTGAGCCACAGCGCCACTTCCGGCTTTTTTCTTTTTGCTTATGTGGTGCTAAGGAATCGAGCCCAGGGCCTCATGCATGCAAGGCAAGCGCTCTACCACTGAGCCACCTTCCCAGCCCCTCATTCCACATTCTTATGGATAGTTGGTGCTTTTTTGTTTCACAATTAAGTTTGGCCCCAAAATATAAGCATCTGTTTTCCTATAGTAACCACACCAGTGGCTTTCCACCTTCCTTCTAGCTCTACATCTCTTTATCACAATTCTAAAGTTCCATGGAAGAAAATCAGTAGGTCCAGATCCTTCTGCCAAGAACCTCTCCCATTTCCAGTCAGCTGCTGGGGAGGAGGCTGCGATATAATCTCTGTCCATTACAGTTGGGCCTATGGACAAAAAAAAAAAAAAAAACCCAATATGACCAAGATAACATTATTTACTGAGAACCTTCTCAGTAGTACTCTAAAGGAGCTCATGATAGAGAAGTCAGATGTAAGGAAGGAATTAGAATGTAATCGGGTGACTTCTAAGATGACAAGAAACATAGTGCCCTCAAACCACAGAGATTAGGGATGATTAAATCTATTTTCTCTATGGCTAAACTATCACTCAAGACTTAAATAGAGCCATTTCCACCACTGAAGTTCTGTGAAATAAGTTATCAATTGCCAGTTACTGGTGGCTCATGCTCATGCTCATGCAACTCAGCTCTGAGGATCATATTTTGAAGCCAGCTTGGGCAGAAAAGTCTGTGAAACTCTCATCTCCAATTAACCAGCAAAAAGTCAGAAGTGGCAGTGTGCTAGCCTTGAGAGAAAAGCCAAACAAGAGCATGAGACTGAAGTTGAAGCCTTACTACCCAAAAAAAAGTTATAAAAGTTCCATAACAGATGGAACTGTAGAATATGGCACCATTTCCTCTCTCTTAGATTATGCATAGCTTCTAACATTTAAATGTTGGTGAGACCTGCATCTGCCAAAAGCATCACAACCCATCTGGAGGGGATGGGGCTCTGAAAGTTTTATGGACACATAGAATCTAGTTCAGGTTTCTTCCAGGGTATATACCCATTGGCATTTTCAGTTCCTGCCTGCAGTCCATGGAGTTGCTTGCTTCCTGTGGGCTGCATGTTGGAGCGGTTATCAGACTGAGTAAGGCATCCTCTACCCATCCTGCATAAAGCAGCTCAGAGGCATTCCAAAGTGAAGGACCCTTAGTCTCTGTGCCAAGTTTCAGGGTACCAGGGAAGAGGCAGCAGTGTGTACAGAAGATGGGAAATGGGAAAGAGAGGGGAAGAGCAGGAACAGTCCAAAGAGGACTGAAAAATACTATGCCTTTAGGAAAGTATAAGGGAGTATTGTGAATGTAGAGGAGCAATCAAAAAATGACAGGAAAAGGAAGCTCTTGTTAGCTGAAAGGGTCATGTGACAGGGCTCAGCAGGAAATGGCCTCTCTGAAGGAAGACTAATCAGAATTGATTGTAAGTCGTCATCCAATGTAAGTGGTCATTTATCCCTAATTAAAATAAAAGCAGACAGGAAATAGTTCTTCCTGGACACGGTTTGGAGCCTGAGGGAAATATAGGCAAGAACTGGAGACTGCCCTAGTGGATGTTGGGAACAATAAAGCCAGTGTGTTAGCTCTGGCTAGTGCCAGAGGGCACAGTGGATTTCTCATGCTCAGAGTCACTCTTTGAGATTTTATTTATTTTTATTGTCTATGGAAAGCTTCCAATTAGGTCTTCTCTAACACACTTACAGCCGCTCCAGGAAAACCAGTCAGATAAACAGAGGGGAGTTCTACTTACATGCCAGCTCTCAGCCATCTGGGCAGCAAGATAGGCTGTCCTGCTGACAGCTTCCTTGTCAGCAGGAGTGATTCCTGCTTCTACTTACTGGTTGTGGGACATTGACAAAGGCATTTAGCAATGAAGGCCTCCGTTTTCTCATTGGATAATAGCACAGACCTATATGCCTTCTGGGTTGTATTAGATAATAATGTAAAGTGCTTATAAAAGTGTCCAACACATAGTCACACTCAGGTACCATACTGTCATCCTTAAGTGTGAAAATAATCTCCTAGGGAGAGAGTAGTCAGTGGGCCAATCATGGTAGCAATATTGAGTTATGAGAACAAAGCAGATTGCCATCAGGCATCATGGTATTACTTCATTCCAGCTACACAGGAAGCATAAATAGGAGAATCATGGCCTCATTTACAACAGCCTAGACAAAAAAGTAAGGCCTTATTTGAAAAATAAAGAAAAAAGGGCTGGAAATGTGCTTAACTGGTAGAACACTGTCCTGTTAATGCTTCCTAAAAGGTGGCTAACTTACCTAAGTGACAAACCTTGGATCTTATTGGCTTTTTTTTTTTTTTGTCAGTCATGGGGCTTGAACTCTGGGCCTGGGCGCTGTCCCTCAGATCTTCAGCTCAAGGCTAGGGCTCTACCACTTGAGCCACAGCACCACTTCCAGCTTTTTCTGCTTATGTGGTGCTGAGGAATCGAACCCAGGGCTTCATGCATGCAAGGAAAGCACCCTACCACTGAGCCACTTCCTAGCCCTCTTATTGGCTTTTTTTTTTTAGGGTCCGGTCGTGGGGCCTGAACTCTGGGCCTGGGCGCTGTCCCTCAGCTCTTCAGCTGAAGGCTAGCGCTCTACCGCTTGAGCCACAGCACCATTTCCGGCTTTTTTTCTTTTTGCTTATATGGTGCTGGGGAATTGAACCCAGGGCCTCAGGCATGCAAGGCAAGCGCTCTACAACTGAGCCACCTTCCCAGCCCTCTTATTGGCTTTTTAACCATCAAGAAAGTGAAAACTCTCAGCCAGGAGTCAGTGGCTCATGCCTGTAATCCTAGCTATTCAGGAGGCTGAGATTTGAGATCTCAGTTCTAAGCCAGCCTGGATAGAAACATCTGTGGTATTCTTATTTCCAGTTAACCACCAAAAAGTCAGAAGTGGAGCTGTGACTCAAGTGGTAGAACACTAGCCTTGAGCACAGAGAGGCTCAAAGACAGTGCCAGGTCCTGAGTTCAAGCCCCAGGATCAGAGAAAAAAAAAACAAAAAACAAAAATCTCAAACACTCATCTTCCCCTCTTGAGCTCCAGGAAAATGATGCATTCAAAGGCAATTAACTGTCCTTAGCAGGGTACACCTATCCATCACCACATCCTGCCTAGCAGAATAAGAACCTCAGAAAAAGACTGTAACTTCACTTATCTAGATGTCCCCCACTATCCCAGTAGAGGCTCCCCTGGACCCAGGGCAGCCTGGATAAGCCAGTGAGTTGATTCCTGTGTTCTGACTCCGGAGCATTTCTGGTTTCCTTAGCCACATGTCTGGGTTTGGCCACCATCAGGTCTTCCTGGAGTCCCTGGAGCAAACTTGGCCTTCCAGTGTCCCTGTATCCTCTCCCTGCAATGTCTAAGTCAGCTTGCCAGTTAAGTCCTCACCCTGTGTCCCTGTTTACAAAAATCTGTTAAGTTTCTGTTTCCCCGATGCTGTATTGTATTGTTTTCCCAGTGTGACTAACAAATTCCTGCCTCAGTTGTAACAGTCGCTTTACACTCCTTCTTGGAATGTGACTCCCCCCCCCCCCCCCCCCGCCCGCGCCGCCCCCCCCCCCCGCCCCAATTCCTGTAACCCACATAACACCTTCGTTAACACCTTCTTGGAACTGACTCTCCCTTCGAAATTCCCACAGTCCAGATAATGTACCCATGTTATTGCCCATGTGACCCATGTGACTGCCCCCTAAAATTTTGTTTAAATTCCACCCATACCTGTCCATAGCTGCTGCCTCCATTCCTGCCATTCCAGCCGAGCAGTCTGTCCCCCAATAAAGCCTTGAACTCCTCTCTGTTGCTGGCCTCTTGTTTCTTACAGAATGAATGAAATTGGGAATTCTGTCTCTGCACCATGTCCGGGCCAGCCCCCAGGCCAAACAGGAAGTGTTGGAAGCTTGTCAGGTGGAGTTGTCATCCTGCCAGCTTTTGCAACCTTTTCTGCCGTGGGTCTTAGGAAACTGAGTCATGAGAGTATTAGAATAAAGAGCAGAAAGCAAACTCAACAGGCTAGATCAACTTTAATGGAAAGTAGAAGAGGGATACCATGGTCACCAGAGAGGAGACAGGAGGCTTAATGGGGGCAGGGGTGGAGGGATTTAGGGTCATGGCTAGGGGACAGGGTTGCGCGTAGCTGGAGAATTGCAAGGGATTTGGGGAAGTGCCTTGAGACTTCATGACCTAGTTCCGGGATCCTATTGTGTAGGTTACTGGCTGGGCCAAGGGTAGCCTGCGAGGAAGACTCAGGTGCCTGACACCTGAGGGGTGGGGTTGGGAAGTAGGCTTTCACTTTTAGGTTGATTACAGGCTGGAAAGAATGGGCTGGGGAGTCTCAGGGAAGTCACCCCCGGTGGAGGGGAGTGTGGTGTGTGGGCCAGGCCGTGGGAGCAACATTGAGTCATGAGAATAGAGCGGATTCCCATCACCAAGCATTCCATTTAGACTTGCTCCCTTGCCCCTTATGCCCCCCCCCCCCCCCCCCCCCCGCTTCCCTGGTCCCGTGGGCTAACTTCCGTCATGGACAACTTTCCCTTTCCCGATCTTTGGTTTCAGGGTGTTATTTCAAGGTAGAGAACAAGGGCCAAGTCAGAACACGGAACCAAATGCACGCATGTCGATTCGCTCCCTGGCGGAAGGGTTAAGCTGACTCGCCGCCGCCCCCAGAGACTCCTGGGAAACGTGGTTTCGCATTGAAAGCGGCTAGGCCGGAGGGCGGGGTTTGAAGGGCAGAGCCCGTTCTGCGCAGGCGCACATCATCCCTTTCGCTGAGGATTCCCCCCCCCCCACTCTGAAGAATCCAAGCAGCCCAAGCCCTGCTGCTCTAAGATTTGTGGGAACTCGGCTCGGCGGTGTCCCGGGCAACGCGCAAGCGCAATCAGATCCAGGCTGCAGACTTACTGCTCATTGTGTTCTGAGCGGAGAGTTGGGGGTGGCGGTGGAACCCCCCCCCCCGCCCCCCCGCCGCCCGCGGAGCTTCTGGAAGGACCAGGCAGCGGCGCTCGGGCCTGAGGACGCGAGCGCGCCGGGAACGCCACCGAGGTCTGGCTCATTCCGGAGGGCACGCCTCGAATGCCCTAAACCTCGTGGAATTTGGTCCCAACCAGAAAAAAAAGAGTCGGGCCAGGAATGGGCTCCTGGGTTTGGGGTCAGGATTTGAGTGCGCGTGGATGAGGACAGGATCGGGAAGCCCATCTCTCAGGTAAGGGCTGGCAGCTCTCGGGTTGTTACCAGCCCGGTGTGGCGCTTGCCCAGGGCCGGGGCAGCCGCAGCGGCTCCGCGGGACCTGACGAGGCGGCGGCAGAGGGTGGGAGGGTGGTGTGGATGATTCCTGACCCCCCTCCGAACCCCCCTCCCCGGCCACACACACACACACACACACACACGTGGCTGGCTTTTGGCCCTAGGTCACTCACATTACCCTGAAGCCAGAGATCCGCTTTTGACCTGAGCGGTTTTCCCCAGTGAAGACTTCAGGCTCCTTAGCTCTGATCCCTTTCCAGGAAACAGGAGTTGACCCTCCTTGCTCTCCCTCTCCACTCCTTTCCGAATCAGCTGTCCCAAGATTACTGTCCCGGATCCCTTGAAGGGAAGGACGGAGGGTGACTAGAAAGTATGAGAACGGGGGCTGCAGCATGCTTTCTGCAGGGAGAAGGCACAGTATTTATACCGAAGGGAAGATACGGAGGACTTGACTAGAGGAAAACAGGAAGGGAAAAGGTAGCCCGTGGGTGCTTCACCTTACTGGAGAAGCAAGATGTACGTACTCTGAGAAGCCAGAGAGAGTGGAGAACAAAGGGTTGGTTGCATTGGGGGTACTTGCAGGACTACTAGGATGGAAATGCTAGCCTCTCTCCTGCTGCTGACACATCCTCTGCTCCTAACAGGTGTGCAGTTGCTGCTGGCCCGTGGAAGCTGGAAGCTTAAGGGCTTCCCACCTGCCTCCCCTACACTTTGCCTGCCTTCAGCTGGTTTGTGAGAGGTAAGCGGAGGAATGTCGAGAGTTCTCCCTGCCCTCCCTCCCTCCAATTCACCTTCTAGATTTGAAGGGTATAGGGATATTTTCCCCACCTTGGAGCTCTACTCCCACCTTAGTGCCCCCCCCCCTCAGATTCTTGGCCCCAGTCTCCCTCCCACCCCATATTGGGCTCATCTGGGGGTTTCAGAGCTAAGTTGCCAGAGGTCATATAAATGGCACAACCTGAACTTGAATCCAGATTGATCTGAACTGAAAATCAGTCTCCCTCCCTCCCTCTCTTTCTCTTTCTTTCTTACTTGCTTTCTTTCTTGCTTGCTTGCTTTCCTGGTTCTGGGCCTTGAACTCTGGGCCTGGGCACTGTCCCTAAGCTCCTTTTGTTCAAGGCTAGTGCTCTACCACTTGAGCCACAGCACCACTTCCAGCTTTTTCAGTGATTAACTGGAGATAAGAATCTCACAGACTTTCCTACCTGGGCTGACTTCAAACCAGGATCCTCAGGACTTGGCCTCCTGAGTAGCTAGGATTACAGGCGGTAGCAAATGGCACACAGCTCTGAAAACCTTTCTACTAGCAGTACTTGACATAGGAACTAAAAGAAGGGAGGAATCAGAACCCTTTTCTGTGGAGCATGATGGTTTTTCTGGACATGTATTAGGGGTGTGAAATATGCTTAAAAAAGTGAATTACAGGCTCTGATAAATTGGTTCATGGGTTCACTTCAACTAGTATTTCTTGATTTCATGCTGTAAACCAAGGCTTTGGGTACAGGTAATAGACACTAATTGAGAATGTCTTAAACTAAAGAATGCATTTAGCTGAGAGATACTGAGTTACCTTCCCAACTCTAGAAGCAAAAATACAACTGGACTTTTTTGTGGAAGAGGGGTCTTGAACAATCCAAAAATCCTTTCTCTTAGATATTTCTTTCTGGGCTTCTGCTGAACTCCTCTTTCTTAGAATATTCCAGCTGCCCTGGTTCCTCAGTCAGCTCGGAAGACCAGAACTGTGGGAGCTGCTGAGTTTTCCATGTGAGATTTCTGGTACTTGTTCTTATTTCTGAATTTCAAGGGAGGAATATGGAGTGACTGTTTCCATGGGTCGTGTGTGTGTGTGTGTGTGTGTGTGTGTGTGTGTGTGTGTATGTGTCTGTGTATGTGTCTGTGTCTGTGTCTGTGTGTATCTGTGTGTCTGTGTCTGTGTGTCTGTTGTCTGTGTGTGTTGGGGTAGGCACACAAACAGTTGAAGAGAAAAAAGAATTGCTGAAAAATAAATACAGTCATGCTTCACTTTATAATGTGCACAGGTTTGGGGTTCAGGCATCATTAGGTGATTTGGCCCTGGCTGAACACTGTGGAGGGATCATAAAACTGAGATGGTGAAATTAATCACTAATATGTCCTCTTAATGCAACCAAGAGATTCATGAAGACGAGATATGTGTTCTGCCCCAGTGGCGTGGCCTACTAAGCTGTGTTTTATGTAGTAGTGTTGTACAGCATAGACCAGCTAAGATCGAAACCACTTTTTAGAAAGGGTAAAGGAGTATATGTCTGGCAACTCAAACCAGGCTAGTGTCAGAAGTTTGGATCCCAAGGAAGGGGGGACCCTGAGTTTTATACAAGCTGGTTACATACAAACTAAGTATTAATTGGATATACAAAAGATCAGGTGGGCTGACATCAAGTTCTGACTAGGTGGGCAGTTCCTGTCTAGTTATGCAGAAACCATGTCATCCTGTCACTACCCCTTCTGTATTGTTATTTAAAAGTACTTTATGAGGAACCAGGCACTGGTGGCTCATGTCTGTAATCCTAGCTACGCAGGAGGCTGAGAGCTGAAGATCAGAGTTCAAAGCCAGCCCAGGTAGAAAAGTCAATGAGACTCTTAGCTCCAATAAACTACCCAAAAAAAGCTGGAAATGGTGCTGTGGCTCAAGTAGTAGAATGCTAGCGTTGAACAAAAGAAGGGACAGTGCCCAAGCCCAGAGTTCAAGCCCCAGGACCAGAATAAAAACATGCCTTGTGGGCTTCTGCTGTGGATTCAGTCCTACCTAGCCTGCCCCCAGCCTGCATTCCAGCAACAGCCCCACCACACCACATTCTGGCAACTGGATGTGGGAAAAGGGAGAGGGGTAATTTTTGTCCACTTCATTCCCACCTCTAGTACCTCACTCAACTCATTGCAACATAAGTGTTATCATTGCTGATAAGTGGCTCCTATCAGGAAGCTTGGCCCCATGTAGGGAGAAGTAGAATCCAGTGTAGTAATTCCACTAATTAAGGATGTTAGCGATATGAAGCCAAAAGGGATTTTTGAGGTCAGCCGGGGGCCCAATGTGCATGGGTGGCTAGGACCACGGGAGTCTCTGGATGGTGAAAGAGACCCCTGGGTCTCTCCGATGACCCAGAATCACATTCTCAGGTTTTGACAGTTGGAGCGCCTATTCCTGTTTCCAGGGCAGGCACAGAAGGCTTGGGCCTGTAACCATCCTTCATAAGTGAGGTCTCCACACCCAAGGGGCCTGTGCTTGGTACCACTGTTTCCCCATTCCTTTTTTCCTAGTCTATCTTACCTCAATAGTACTAGCTAAAATCATGATAAAAGAATAATATACTACAGGGTGTCAGTGGCTCTCCCCTGTAATCCTAGCTACTCAGGAGGCTAAGATCTAAAAAGTACAATATACTACATGTGTCAGTAATATAACTGCTTACTATGATTATCAAATACAGGGCCTTGCACTTTCGCTTGGCTGTTTTTGCTCAAGGCTGGCAGTCTGCCACTTGAGTCACAGCTCCAATTCCAGCTTTTTTTTCTGCTTAGAAATAAGAGTTCCATGGACTTTTCTATCCAAGTTGGCCTCAACCTTCAATCCTCAGACCTCACCTTCCTGAGTAGCAAGGATTACAGGTGTGAGCCTCCAGCACCCAGAGCTTTGATAGGCCCACATAGGTGACTATAGAAGCAGTCAGAGAGAGAACTATACTGAGGAAAAAATGTCCTTGTTGGAGATAAGAGGAGTTGGTTGAATGGGGGAAGGATGGAGAGCCGAGGCAGGGCTGGGCAGATTAGGAGAGATTGGAGAAGATATTGAAGGCAAAATGAACGAGTACTGGGCAAGCAAGCATGTTTTCTCTGCCTCTTCAAAGTAGGGACCATGGTGTAGGAAATGGGTAACTTGTCCCCAGACACCAGCCAGCAGCCAGTGTCAACGTTCTCACTAAGGATGGGTTTGCTGTTACAGAACATGGTGAGCTTCAAGGATGTGGCTGTGGTCTTCACACAGGAGGAGTGGAGTCTCCTGAGCCCTGCACAGAGGGCCCTATACAGGGAGGTGATGCTGGACAACTATAGCAACTTGGTGTCCTTAGGTAAGTGAGGAAGCCTGGAGCATTCACCTTTGGGGATTTCGTTGGGACCCTTCTACTAATGCTATGCAAAAGACTAAGCTGGAAGGTGCTGAATGGGGATGCTACCTGCAAAGCTCCCACTTGCGTATTCCTGGTATCCCTCGGCCTCTTTGGAGTCTTTAAGTAGAGATCGTCCAAAATGACGGAGGACTTAGGAGTATGGGGGGAGTCCCCCCCTCACCCTCTTCTAGCAGGGACAAGAACATGGGGACAAAGTGTCTGTGTCAGGCCTGAGCTATCTTTTTTCCTCCTACGAGCATGTGTCCACCTGGGCTTTCTGATGCGATCACCTTTTCTAGGATATTCCGGAGAACAGGTCTCCTCCTTGCAATGACGTTTATCTTTATTAGAAGCAGATGTGGTCTTTTTTTTTTCCCTCCCCACGCTTCTGAAAACCAGGACTCTTAGGACCCAAACCAGATGAGTTTTCTCCCCTGGGAAAAAGGAAAGAATGGACACTGGACACATCCAGAGGCTTCTGTCTTGGTAAGAATCACACCTCTGCGAGGCTGGGACTCCCGTGGGTGCTGAGGGTAAGGGTGTCATCTCAGCAAGCACGCCAGGCTTTGCTGCCACATTGTCCCAGCATGCATTGCCAAAGGGTGACACTCCTGAATCCTTTCTCCCCGTTACTTTCTTCCCCCCTGTCCTTGTTTGGCATAGATGAATAGAGTCTGGGTTAGGGACACCTCAGACATCACTTGCCAACTCGGCCCTGACCCCTGAACAGCATGACATGCATCTGGAAGTGAGGGCTACTTACTTCTCTAGTAGGAAGGAATCACACTGGCTTACTCACAGCGGTTATTTAAAAGCCAGTTATATGCCCAAGAAAACACCTCTTTTCCTGACCGCCGCCCCCCCAGAAAAATTGCACATCTTCTCAGCTACTTCATGCTTCTTCATCCATGTGGAAGTTCAACCAGCTGGCATTCAACTAGTCTCCCTTTGCCAGGCACTGTGCTAGATTATCGGTGCCAGGAGAGCTGGTTTGCTATGCTAAGCTGCGTTGCTCATACATAGGAAATGCATGACACTTTGTTTTAGCAAATGCCTACATGTATTGCCTGGGCATGCAGACAGCATGATAACTTAGTGGCTATTAATTGTTTTAAGGAGTCCACTGGGGCTCGTGATGTGAGGGTAGGTCTGCAGCTCTCTTGCTATCACCCAATATTCTAGAAAAATTACTGTATTATCATGACACTATAAGCTTGGTGCTGGTGGCTCACACCTGTAATCCTAGCTACTCAATAGGTCAAGACCTGACTTTCCTGCCCAGGCTGGCTTCGAACTGCAATCCTCAGATCTCTGCCTCCTGAGTAGCTAAGATTACAGGCATGAACCACCAGTGCTTGTTTTCTTATTTTTGTTTCATCTCTACTTTTCTTTTCTGTACTGGGGATGGAACCCAGGGCCTCAGCTCCACCAAGCCAGTCTCTGTCACCAGCCACATTCCCAGCCCTTGCTTTCATTGATAACCTACTCAGACTTCAGATACCTTATGGGGAAAGGGTGGTAGGCTTCATTTCTGATGCTTGAAGTATAGATTGAAGCATCCTTGATCCAGAAACCTCAAATGTGAAATGCTTCAAAATGCAGTTTGAGCTCTATCATGCAGCAACTGATCCATAGGGAACTCCACTCCTGGTCTCCCTCATGTGATAGGTCATAAGTTAAAATGCAAGCACCAAGAAGTTCTTTATGAAATCACTGTCAGGTTATGTGTAAAAAGTGCATGTGAAAAGAATTGGATTTTGAGTTTAGAATCTTCTATCCCATTCCCATGCTTTTTTTCTTTTCTTTTTTTTTTCCAGTTATGGGGCTTGAATTCAGGGCCTGGGCGCTGTCCCTGAGCTCTTTTTGCTCAAGGCTAGTGCTCTACCACTTTGAGCGACAGCACCATTTCTGGTTTTTGGATGGTTAATTGTAGACAACAATCTCACAGACTTTCCTTCCTGGCCTGGCTTTGAACCACAATCCTCAGATTTCAGCCTCCTGAGTAGCTTGGATTACAGAAGTCAGTTACCAGCATCTGGCTCCCAAGCTATCTTATTATGTATATGCAGATATTCCAAAATGAGAATAAAAAATCTGAAACACTTCTGGCCCCCGGTAGAAATGTGGAAGGGCTGTTCAACCTGCAATGGCTATGAATCTGTATCGTTTCCATTGTTACTCTCATTATTCCTGGAGTAGCATAAAGCTTTTTTTTTTTTTTTTTTTTTTTGCCTTTTTTTTTTTGAGGGGGGGGGTCCAGTCATGGGGGCCTGAACTCTGGGCCTGGGCACTGTCCCTCAGCTCTTCAGCTCAAGGCTAGTACCACTTGAGCCACAGCACCACTTCCAGCTTTTTTCTTTTTGCTTATGTGGTGCTAAGGAATTGAACCCAGGGCCTCATGCATGCAAGGCAAGCGCTCTACCACTGAGCCACCTTCCCAGCCCATCATAAAGCATTTTTTAAAAGTAGTTTTGACTCTACTTTTTTTTAAATTAGTTTTATTTGTTTATTAGTTATTTATTTGTGTTTATGTGGTACTAAGGAACCAAACCCAGGGCCTCATGCATGCTAGGCAAGCACTCTACCACTAAGCCACATTCCCAGTCCCTAGATTATTCTTAGTTATAGTAGTAAGTCATGAATCAGATAGCTTTCTTCTGTGTCTGTTCTCTGGGCCATGAGACAGTGGAGAGAGACTGGGGTGATTTGGGGTGATTTGGGGCCTCGCTCAGACTTTCAAACTATGAAGCAAGTAGGGATACCACACTTGATAGGGAATGGCGTCAATGGGGTTAGCTCATCTGGACTGACTTAAAGTTGTAAATCAAGGATTAGCATGAGGCCCTGAGTGGCGCTTAAAAGGTCAGTTTCTTCTGTCCAAAATTGTGGTTGGTGGTGCTGATCTTGAGGCTTGTCCTTGAGCTATTTTGCTCAAGGCTAGCACTCTACCACTTTAGGCACAGCTCCATTTCCAATTTTCCGGTGGTTAATTTGAGATAAGGGTCTCACAGACTTTCCTGCCCTGACTGGCTTTGGACCACAGTTCTCAGATCTCAGCCTCTTGAGTAGCTAGAATTACAGGTGTGAGCCACCAGCACCTGGCTCTCTAAAATAGGTTTTGTTTTGCTTTAATATCTGTTGTGGGTCTTCAACTCAGGGCATAGTCACTGTCCCTGAGCTTTTGGGTTCAGGCTAGCACTCTACCACTTGAGCCACAGCTCCCTTCCAGCTTTTTGGTGTTTTAATTGAATTGATAAGAGTCTCATGGACTTTCCTACCTAGGCTAGCTTTGAACTACAAGCCTCAGATCTCAGTTTCCTGAGGAGTTAGGATTACAGGCGTGAGACCAGCTTTACCTTGATAATTTTCAAAGTAAGATCTGACTTTATTCCTGGGCTGGGCTGGGCTGAAGTCTACCTACTTGTGCCACCCTGTGTCACTGGGCCTGACAGGCTCGCACCACACCACTTAGTTCTTGAAATGGAGTCTCATGAACTTCTTTTTTGCCAAGATTATCCTCCAGCTGCAATCTCCTGATTACTACCTTCCAAACAGCTAGGATTACAGGCATGAGCGACCATGCCCATCAGGAAGGTTTGTTCTTGACAGGATTTCCCAGGAATCATTCCCAGGCATCATTCATGTTTGGTCTCCAGTCTTTAGCATTACCTTTGTAGTATAAAATTTTAAATCGGCTTAAGTTAGAAGGTGGATTTTCACAAATGTGTAGAATGACATACAATCCAGAACTGTGTTCTCTAATTCCAAGATGTGAACCTAGTGGGAAGATTGTTAAGGAAGTGTGCAACTTTTGTTTATGGAGTGGAAGTTTTTGTCAAGTAATTCACAAGGCTGTAGCTACTACTCCAGTAAGAGTCCCACTGGTGGCTCATGCCTGTAATCCTAGCTACTTAGGAGGCTGAGATCTGAGGATCATGGTTTGAAGCCAGTCTGGGCAGGAAAGTCCATGAGACTTTTATCTCTTGTTAACCACCAGAAAATCAGAAGTGATGCTGTGGCTCAAAGTGGTGAAGTGCTAGCCTTGAGCAAAACAACTCAGGTACAGAGCTCTGAGTTCAAGCCCTATGAGTGACAAAAAAAAGTCCCATTCATAAGTGCCCTGTCCCCCAGATTCATAGCTTCTCCCTCTTGGATATACTAGACATATCCTGGCAAGTGTGCTACTTTGTTTCTAAGTTCCTTTTCTACTCACACATCAAGGTGGTTCATTTTCTTTGTGTGTAGATTTTATTATCTTGGTCTTGGATGCCTCACTTCTATTGGCAAGTGGTGGGCTTTACTTTTTTATTTTTATCCTTTGTCATCATGGAGCTTGAATTCAGGGCCTGTGCGCTGTCCTTGGGCTTTTCTACTCAAGGCTAGCACTTCAGCACTTTGAGCCACAGGTCCACTGTCTGTTTACTGGTGGTTAATTGGAGATCAGAGTCTCAAGGACTTTCCTGCCTGGGGCTGGCTTTGAACCATGATCCTCAGATCTCAGCCTCCTGAGTAGCTAGGATTTCAGGCATAAACCACCAGTGCTCAGCTGGTGGGCCTTATTTTATTAGTAGATAAGAACATTTCATCCCAGGTATGTGACAACTTAACTTTTTATTGCCTGTCAGGGCTAGGGAGCCTTTTTTAAGCCAAAGGCCATTTGGATATTTATAACATCAGTTGCAGGCCAAAAAAAAATTATCAGTACAGATGGGCATCTGTCAAGTATCACACGTGCCTGTGCTACCGTGTTCCAAGTGATTTTGCTGGCCTCAAATAAACATCTTGTTCTACAGGCCAGATGTTCCCTAGCCCTGCTCTCTCGGCATACTCAAATGAGTCTACGAAATATATGAACGTTGGTAGAGGTTGTTACTCGAGTTACTTCCTAACAAGTACTCACCTCTAGTTTCAGGATTTTTTTAAAGACTGTATCTTGTTTGTTGTAAAAATCATAACACTAGAATAGACCATTGTTTCTTGTCTATTAGCATCGGACACTCTGTGTTACACTTTGGGAGTATTACAATATCAGATAGCTTCTGTCTGACTGCAAAGATATAAAGTGTTGGACTCAGAATTCCAGGTCAAGCCAGTGGCATCTGAGCTCAAGCTCCCAAGCTGTCCTGCCTCAGATAGATAACACTGCCGGAGAGCTGTGCTCGCCTGTTTTCCTCTTCTCTTTTTGTCACATCAAGTAATCTTCAAAACTGCCACCTGTTTATTAGCATTCTTAATAGCATTATCATCGCAGGCCATTTAGATGTTTCCTCCAGTCAGACATTATCCTGGGTTTTATTTGGGGAGGGGGGTTGTTTGTTTTTTTTGTTGGTTATGGGGCTTGAACTCTAGGCCTGGGTGCTGTCCCCCAGCTCTTCAGCTCAAGGCTAGTGCTCTACCACTTGAGCCACAGTGCCACTTCCTCATTTTCCTGTTAATATCTTACAGCATGGATGATCATACCTGTGAGTAAGAAATCTCCTCTCAAGGCAGATATTCCTGAAGAAGAATTAGATCAGTGGACAATAAAGGAAAGATTGACCAGAGATGATCACTGGACACATGCTGGCCTGTTGGAAGGGCAATGCCAGAAAAGTCAGGAGATTAATTTACAGCAGGTGAGCTGCACCTCCCAGAACATTCCATCTGGGGTTAGTGAGCAGAAATGCCATGAATCTGGGAAGGACTGCACCAAGAGCTCCTGTCCTATACAAGATGAGGAGTGTCAACTAAGCAAAAACACCTTTGAATCCAGTGAGCGTGAACAAGTCTTCTCTAATAAACATCAGAGAACGCATCCAAAAAACCTTCACACAAGTCAGAAAAATCTGACTAAAGAGAAACGCTATAAATGTAGAGAGTGTGGGAAAGCTTTTCACCAAAGTACATACCTTATCCATCACCAAAGAATCCACACGGGGGAGAAGCCATATGAATGTAAGGAATGCGGCAAGGCCTTCTCTGTGAGCTCCTCGCTCACTTACCACCAGAAAATTCATACTGGAGAGAAACCTTTTGAATGCAACGTATGTGGAAAGGCTTTCATCCGCAACATACATCTCTCCCACCATCACCGAATACATACCGGAGAGAAACCTTTCAAATGTAATATCTGTGACAAAGCCTTTGTGTGCCGAGCCCACCTTACCAAACATCAGAATATCCACAGTGGTGAGAAACCCTACAAATGTCACGAGTGTGGGAAAGCCTTCAACCAAAGCACAAGTTTCCTGCAGCATCAGAGAATTCACACTGGAGAGAAACCCTTTGAATGTAATGAGTGTGGGAAGGCTTTCAGGGTGAACTCTTCCCTCACTGAACATCAGAGAATTCACACTGGAGAAAAACCGTACAAGTGCAGCGAGTGCGGGAAAGCCTTCAGGGACAATTCATCCTTCGCACGACATCGGAAGATTCACACGGGGGAAAAACCCTACAAATGTGGCTTGTGTGAGAAAGCCTTCAGGGACCAGTCCGCCCTAGTCCAGCATCAGAGAATTCACACTGGGGAAAAACCCTACACATGTAATATGTGTGAGAAAGCCTTCAGTGACCAGTCAGCCCTTACCCAGCATAAGAGAATTCATACACGAGAGAAGCTGTACATGTGCAAGGTCTGCGGGAAAGCTTTTATCCGAAGCACCCACCTCACTCAGCATCAGAGGATTCACACGGGCGAGAAACCCTATGAGTGTACTAAGTGTGGGAAAGCTTTCAACCAGTCTGCAAACCTCATTCAGCACCAGAGACATCACATTGGAGAAAAGTGATTGAAACCAGTTTGTCCGGAACAGCATTAGGAGTTAGGGAAGATTCCTTCTCGAACGTGAGAGATCTGCGCCAGAGATGAACTATGAAGTCTTGCATCAAATAGTTACTGAGTCAAGCTTCACAATGTCATGGAGCCAAAGGTGGTGTTAGGGAAGCTAGGTTCACCCAGGGAGGCAGCTGTACAACCTTGCACTAGACAAAGTGCAGAATAGCACCTGGCAATGACTCTGTTAGCCGAGAAGGGCATACAATAAATGGTTAATTGTTATATAATGAAGGCACTGCCCAGGCAAGTGCTATTACTGTAAATAGAGTTCAGTTGGCCCATGCATGTCCAGAAGGCCATTTAGTCCAAATTTTAGCAACTACTAGACACTTTTCTCTGCCTACCCTCAACTGGGTTAATCCCAAGGCATGAAAGGGTATTGATAAGTGCAATCCTTCTGTACTTTCCTTTCCTTATAGATAGTCTGACCACAGCAGAGCAAGAAGGTCCCCTGTTGGGACCTTTCCTGGTTACAGGGGTTACAAGCTGGTCTTGTGACATTGTGAGTCATGTGCATAGAGATGGTTCCCAGCACACCTGTAGACAGTGCCATCTCAAGATGCCATGCCTGCGTCTGGCAGGGAAGAGTGGGGCTTAGGTGTGATGTCAGTGTCTCCAGCCCTCATGTGGACCATGGAGCCCCAGAAGCAGACCCAGAACCCAGCTGCCCTCCGTGTCCTCCACCCTGCAGAACTGCAGACACTGCCTACTCCTGGGAGAAAAAAAAACTCCCAGTGCCTCTTCAGATTCCTGTAATCCGGTCTTGTCAGCTCCCTGATTGGTTTTCCTCTGTCCACCATAGATTGCTTAGCTGTGGCTGCAGTGCTCTCCGGATGCTGCCTTCCTCCACATTCAGTGCCTCCTTTTTCTTTTTTTAAAATTGTTTTAACCCTATTGTCTTTAAGTAGTTGTACAGAGGGCTTCCATCCATGAGTATTATCATGAGCAGGTTCACTCTCATCTCTCACCCCTCTCCTCCCCTTAGTCTTCCTAGTTCCATTTTTTACATGTATACATTGAATAATATTCTGAGTGCATTCTCCCATCCTTCCTCTCTCCATTTGTCTGTCTCTCCACCACCACCCTTCACCCCATTCCTCTCCCCTTTTCCTACAGCACACTTGGGCTTCTGGTTCCTGTGGGTGAGCCTCAAGAGTCTTCGGGCTAGGCCTGGCCTCTATCCATCTCCTTTCTCTACTCCACACTGCCCTCCCTCCCCTGCACTATTGCCTTTCATCAGCATCAAGACACAAGACTTTCCCGCCCTGCTCTTCCCTGCAGCAGGAGGCCTCCTTCCTTAGCTCAGGCCAGCTCCACTGAATATATTTTCAGTAACACTTGTATATACCAGTGAAGGGGAGGAAATCACAAGGCTAGATTATTGGTCCTCACCCCTGGCTTTCTCCCACAGGTTAATGACCATGCTAACTCTTTTGCTTCTTGCCTACCGTGCTACCACCTGAGTCACGCTTCCAACCCCCTCATAATCACTCCATAAGCACCAGGACTTGGTGATGTATACCACATAGCACTATAAGCTTTTTAAAAAGGTGATTGATGAAGAATTACTCCACGGGGCATTGTCATGAAAATAAAAAGTAGCCATTGTTCTAAAGGTATGTGAGTTGCTTTTCTGTTGCCTGGTTATCTAGTTAGATGTCGCTAAAAAATGAGAAGTTGTAGCCGGGCACCGGTGGCTCATGCCTGTAACCCTAGCTACTCAGGAGGCTGAGATCTGAAGATCGCAGTTCAAAGCCACCCCGAGCAGGAAAGTCCATGAGACTCTTATCTCCAGTAAATCACCAGAAAACCGGTGTTGTGGCTCAAGTGGTAGAGCACTAGCCTTGAACTGTAGAGCTGAGAGCTTTCCTGGTCAGAGGGGGTTTAAAAACTGGATATCAAAGCATATTATAAAAAATTATACAACATGATATACAATAAGAATCTCTAGTTGAATGGAAGAGATCAATTTATTAAAGTCATGCAGTTGGTAGTGAATCAAAATTAACTAGGTAATAAAGCTCCAGGACACATATACTAACCCACTGTCCACCATTTTGTGAACATCTGTTTTAGCAGACTGAACCAACTACATCAATGATCTACAAATGAAGTGTTAAGGCTAGGAACTTCCAAACCAGTCCTTCCATTAATTTGCCTCCCATGCTGTGGTTAGCCTTTTCCATTCAGTCTTCCCATTTTGATCCCTCTTCTCTTGGTTCCTACCCTCTGCATTTTATCACTTTTTTGGGGGGGCGAGGGGTCCGGTCATGGGGCCTGAACTCTGGGCCTGGGCGCTGTCCCTCAGCTCTTCAGCTCAAGGCTAGCGCTCTACCACTTGAGCCACAGCGCCACTTCAGGCTTTTTTCTTTTTTGCTTATATGGTGCTGAGGAATCGAACCCAGGGCCTCAGGCATGCAAGGCAAGTGCTCTACCACTGAGCCACCTTCCCAGCCCATTTTATCACTTTTCTCCACAGGTTGGAACATTGTCTTTGAACCCCTATAGTTACTTATAGTAACTGTCAGTATTTTGTTTCTGTCCATCCGGTATTAGTGCTCATTTCCCCCAATAGTCTCCTATATATGGTTGGTCATAGGGCTTGAACTCAGGGCCTGGGCACTGTCTCTAAGCTCTTTAGCTCAAGGCTGGTGCTCTATCACTTTGAGCCACAGCTCCACTTTGTTTTGCTTTTTTCTTTTTGGTGGTTAATTGGCGACAACAGTCTCCCAGGGACTTTCCTGCCTAATCTGACTTTGGACTGTGATCCTCAGATCTCAGCCTCCTGAGTACCTAGGATTACAGGTGTGAGCCATCAGCGGCTGGCTATAACAAATTTATTTCTGAAGCTGTTAAAGGATGGTGGGAAGATGTGCCTGTAATGGTGTATCACACTCATTTTATAAGGAGTCCTGCAGACTGGTAAATAGATAAAGAACCAAGAGAAAACCAAAAGTAAACTTTAGGAATTGATACATTTATTTAACAAGAATTCAGTGGGCAAAGTCAAAGGCAAGGTATATAATAACTTAGGGGAAATTTCCGAAGAGCAAAAGCATAGTAGATGTGACTAAGATATAGGAAACATCAAAAATCACAGTAGTGAGAAAACATAGGAATAATGTTAATATCCAAAAACCCTCCTGCATGGGTCTCAGCACATGGAGTGGAGGTAAAGATGTCATGAACAGGTAGGTAGGCCTCTCAGATGCACGCTTACTCAACTTCATCGTGATCTTTGAATTTCAGGGGATAAATTTAGTTCCTCTCTAGAAGCATAACCATTTGTACCAATCAGGTACAGGGTCCCATCTTCAGAGAGGACAGATGAGGCCAACACACACAGAAAACAGAGGCCAAGGGTGGAATCAGCTCTTGCTGACGACCAGCCTCCATGCTGGGCGTGGTCTTCATGGACCTCTTCCCTCTGGCTAGTCACTGTGGACCCAGACTCTCTATGGCTTCCACAGTAAATCAAAGGGGAAGACAAGAAATGTGGCCAGGGCACAAGCCATCCCACTCACAGCCACCCTGCTACTTGGGGCCTTCTTCATCCTCACCCTTGGGCTGGGCTGCCATGGTGGAGGTCTTCTTCAGGCTTCGCTTTCTCTTCTGCACATTCTGCTCTGGATGGAACAGGATGACGTAGGTTTTGGGCACGTAGAGCATTCCTAGGGACACCGATGCACTCAGGCTCAAGGACACCGTCAGTGTGGTGGTTTGGATATAGATCTAGACCATGGAGGAGAGACAAGGAGGGCCTCAGATCTGTTCTCTCTCTTCCTGCCTTCGTGATAACACAGACTGGAGCTGAATGGGAAAGGAGACTGTGAGATCTACCAGGGCCCTTGATTACCTTCTCTGCTGATTGGGCAGTGCCAAAGAAGATGGGCACAAATGCCAGCCAGATGATGCAGGTGGTGTACATGGTGAAGCCAATGGGCTTGGCCTCATTGAAGGTCTCAGGCACTCCACGGGCCTTGATGGCATATACAGTGCACGTGACCATGAGGAGGAGGCTGTAGCCCAGGCAGCCGATGAGGGATAGATCTGACATGTCACACTTGAGGACCCCCCTGGCCTGCTCCGGATCCACCGTCCGCTGTTCCTCATAGTCAATCACACTGTGTGGGGGCTGGGCTCCCAGCCACGCTATCACTCCCACCACCTGCAGGCATCAATGGCATGTCAGGGACCTGCCCTCCTCCAGGAACAAGCTATCCTTGCCTTCCACCTGGGGTTTAGGATTGCATGTCAGGGACCTGCCTTCCTCTGGGGACAAGCTATCCTTGCCTTCCACCTGGGGTTTAGGATTGCATGTCAGGGACCTGCCTTCCTCCGGGGACAAGCTATCCTTGCCTTCCACCTGGGGTTTAGGATTGCATGTCAGGGACCTGCCTTCCTCCGGGGACAAGCTATCCTTGCCTTCCACCTAGGGTTTAGGATTCCCCAGGAGGTTCCTGGCCTGCTGAGTGGGATGCTCAGGTCTGAGGGAGCCACTAGGAAAAGGAAGGATCAGGCTATCCTGTGCTACTGCAGGTGGAGAGAAGGGCTGCGTTGTATGGAGGTGTGTGATGGCCATAGCAGGGCTGGTGGGTGAGGGGCAACTTGACATCCTTGTTCTATATTCTAACCATTGCTAGTGCCATGTATTGAATGCCTTCAAGGTGTAGTGGCTGAAATGATGGTCTTATCACATGCCTTTCTTGGCCTTAGTTTCTTCCACTACAGAATGGAATCCCTCATAATCTGTTAAAAGGACATGGTGAAGCTGAGCCCTAGGGTATGGCTCATACCTGTCTGTATTCCTACTAACTCAGGGGGGCTGATTTCTGAAGATCATGGTTTAAAGCCAGCCCAGGGAGAAAAGTCCAAGAGACCATTGTCCTAAGTGAGTTATTCTCATTACTCAAGAGCACAGCTCTATCTCCTGTGGCATTTATTAATTTATTTATATTGTCATACGTGGGGCTTGAATTCTGGGTCTGGGCGCTGTCCCTCAGCTCTTCAGCTCAAGGCTAGCTCTCTACCACTTGAGCTACAGTGCCACTTCCAGTTTTCTGATGGTTTATTGGAGATAGGAGTCGCATGGACTTTCCTGTCTGGGCTGGCTTTGAACCATGATCCTCAGATCTCAGCCTCCTGAGTAGCTAGGATGACAGGCATGAGCCACCGGCACCCAACTTCTATTTATTTTTAACACAAGGCCCTAACCCAGAGTGCGTAACTAGTTTAAGCTTGAGGCCTAGATCCTCCATCACAGCCCTGCCCCACGCCAGCCCTGTCCCCTGGGGAGACGCACCTGCAGGGAGGTGAGGCTGAAGGTGATGACGAGCTGGGAGGTGGGGCTGATGAAGGGCGGTGGGGTGACGGAGCGCTTGCCTTGCTCAAAGATGCGATAGATACGGTTGGTCTTGGTGAGCAGGGCGGAGTAGCTGAGCGTGGTACCCAGGCCCAGGAAGAGTCTCCGGCCGGCACAGACGGCCGCCCCTGGCTCAGCCACCATGAGGAAGGTGATGGCGTAGATCAGGAAGATGCCAGTGAGCAGCACGTAGCTGAGCTCACGGCCCGAGGCGCGGACGATGGGGGTGTTGTTGTGCCGCACAAAGGTGGCCACCACCGTGGTGGTGGCCATGATGCCCAGCACGGCCAAGAGCAAGGGGGGCGCTGCCCAGGGAGAGGCCCAGGTGAGGCGGACCACAGGCGTGGGGCGACAGCCTGTGTGGTTGGGGGTGGGCCTCATGTCCCCGGGACAGGCCTCACAGGTGAACTCGTCCACCTGGAAGCGGTACCCATCACAGGCCTCGCAGTGCCAACAACAGGGCACGCCCTTCACCATCTTCTTCCGCTCCCCCGGCCCACAGGGAAGGCTGCATTGAGATGGGGGTACCTCGCGGGGGTCACCTGACCACTGTAAAGCTTCTACCTAGAACAGATGAAACATGGGCCGGTGATCATGCTGCCAGAGACAGATTCCAGCCCCCCCTCCCCAACCTGCACCCAGGGCTGGGTCTGAACCACTTACATCCAGTCTGAGCGCTTCTGCCCACTGGCCCACAGCCTGGTACCCGCCGCTGCTGGCGCTGCCATTGTTCGCCTGGTACTGGAAGATGTCGTAACGTCCAGGAGCATCTCCGTTCTCATTGAACATCACTGGAGTTCCTGCACTGCCTGCAGGGAGAGCCTGTCATCCTTAGCTGCCGGCCTCCTGGGCCTCGCAGGACAAAGGAAGATGAAGGAGCTCAGGAGAAGAGGCTCAGCATCACACCTCACACTTATTAGGATTGCCCAGTGCCGGAGGCTCACCCCCTGCCATCCTAGCTACTCAGGAGGCTGAAATCTGAGGATCACGGTTCAAAGCCAGCCCAGGCAGGAAAGTCTGTGAGATTATGTTGCAATTAACCACCAAAAAGCCACAAGTGGAGCAATGGCTCAAGAGTGCTAAGCTTGAACAACAACAAGCCTCAGGGACAGAGCCCAAGACTTGAGTTCAAGATCCAGGACCTATGCGCGCATGCGCACACCCTCACACACACAGCGAGACATAGGGACCAGAACTCAGGTCTCTGGAAGTCATTCTTCAGGGCCCTCTTTGCGATTCTATCTATCCGTTGTTGTCCTGGCTTCCCTTACTCCGCTCACCATTGAAGCGCACAGCTCGGATATACTGCAGCAGTGTCCGCCCGTCGGTGGGCTCCATTGCAGGGCACAGGCCTGTGTGGCCAGGGCACAGGGCCTGGTGCATGCTGTGCAGCGCATGGGCGATGGCGTACACAGCGTCGATCACAAACTGGACCTTTCCCTCTTGCTCGTAGGCAGAGTCCTGGCCGATGCGTTCCTCGCCTGTCCTAGGATGTATGGAGGAAGTGTGCCTGGCTCCCAGAGACCCCAAACCAGGCTTCCCACCTTCTCCCCGGCAGCTCTCACCTGTGCATTTGCGGGCCGAGTCATCTGACTGGCCGCCCGAGCTGGTTAGTTTGCAGTTAAAGTTTTCTTCCCAGAACTCAGCGAACCAAATGTTCCTGCGGTTGTTCTCCAGGGAGCGCGTCATGAAGTACTGGTCAAAGCCTGAGAGGGAGGAGGGGGGCAGACATCTGAGCCTACCATACTTCCAGGTGTGGTCCTGTGGCCAGGTTCTCTCCTGAATTCAAAGCCAGCTGGGAGATCCAGGGTAGAACTGGCTTCCTTTCAACAACTCAGAGAGCTCACTATTCAAAAAGCCTTTTACCCTTGCCCCTTCCATCCTGGTTAGAATATTCTAACCACAGTATCTCAGAATCCTAGAGTCTGGGATTCCTGGTTTGTGGCATCTAACATACAGATGTGGGGAGTGAGCGCCCTCTATCGGGCACTCTGGGGAGGACAACCAGGGATTTTGGACTCTCACCATCAATGGATGCTCTTTTGGGCAGGATGGTGATGGCCCCCAGGGCAGCGTCCTCTAGGCTCAGGATGGGTGAGATCTTGGATCCCCAGCTGTCTGAGCCAACCCACAGGAAGTGACCTGTCAGGTTGGCCTGGCGTGTGGCCTCCAGGACCCTCCTGGTAAGAACAGAACTGGGGGTGAGTGAAGACCTAGGATCCTCTCTGGCTTAGCCTTGGTCCATCCCTGTTCTTTATCCATCGGTCACAATTCACATCACTCACCAGATCCTTGTCAGTCAGGAGAAATGGAAGGGGTTTCTCTAATCCTCTGACCCCAGGCCTGTGCCCATGCTCTGTCCACTACAACCAACTTCACACTGGCCCCCAGAGGGCGCTATGGCTAGGATATGGTATGGCAAAGGTGGGGGGGGGGTGTTGGGACCTTAAGAGGTGGTGCCTACTGCAACATTATTGGGTCTCTGGGGCCTAGTCCTCACCCCAGGGAAGGCTAAGCAGTTCTGCAGGACCCTTGCCTGATTCCCTTTCAGTGATCCTGGCCCTGCCCCTCTCTCTGGCTTCCTGTCTCACCCTGTGGTCTCTCCCTCAGACACATACACCTGCCAGGATGACACCTGCTAAACTAGGATGCAGCCCACCGCCCTCCCCAGAACTCTTACGGTGCTGTTAGGACTTCTGACCTCCAAGACCATGAACTAAATATACCTCTTCTCCCTACAAGCTGTCCAGTGAACATGGACTACTTGTAGAGAACTCCTTGGGGTGAAAATCAAGGCCATTTAGAAGCCATCCCTTTCCCCAGATGTCTCCAGAAGAGCTGCCTCTGGGCCTGGGGCTGCGGCCTCCTGTTGATTCCTTCTGTGCTGAGTGTGAGGCTCGGCGAGGGCAGAGGAAAATGGAAGGGAGCGGGGGAGATGGCGGGAGCTCCCTGAGAAACACCAAAGTGATATCTGCCTCACCTGATGTCATCCTCATTGGCGAAGATGATGATGCCCCGGGCATTGGGCGTCTCCATGAGCCTCCGGATAACCTTGTCAAACTCTCCAGGCTTTGGTTCTCTGGGAATCTTGATGGACTGGGCGATACAGACGCCCCCTAGGTGTCAGGGTGCAAAAGTCAGCTGTCATCCCGCCCACCCTCCCCTCTCCCTCCCACTTGACCTCCACAGAGCCATTTAATCATCCGGGGACCTGGCTAATGGGGTCTGGAGAGCCACAGGCAGGGGCTGAGTCCTCTAAAGCAAAGGCACCTGCCCAGCTGGCAGACCACCAGCAACCCCTCAGCCCCTGGCCACACCCCTACAGGCTCCTTGATGCCTGGAACCCCCATCTTGCGGCTCACCAGCCTCACGGGAGATCTGCACAAAGGCCTCCACCCCGCTCTCGCCATAGTTGCCCTCCGAGGCCAGCGTGGACACATAATTCCACCCCAGTGCCCGCACAATGTCCACCATGGCCTGGGCTTGGTATGAGTCGGGTGGCACCACTCGGGAGAAGAAGTCGTAGCGTGTGGAGTCGCTGAGCTCTGGGGCCGTGGAGGCGTAGCTGATCTGGGGTATCTGGAGGCAGGAAGGACGGACAGCCAGGCTGGGAATGGACAGTCGGTCACCCAAAGGAGGGAGGGGCAGTGAGGGGAGGCTTGGGGGCCAGAGAGGATGGTGATGCAGAGGTGACCGGGGTAGGGGCCTCAGAGAGCGCTGTCCCACGCATGCACTGATGCGTATGGAAGGTTTAGGGGCTGGAGCCGTGTACAGCTGTGCAGGCTGTGTCTTAAACAAGAAGGAAGCCAAGGGGAAGCGAGGGCTGGAATTCAGCCTGTTACCAATCCAAGTGGTGGCATGCCCCGGAAAAAGAGGTGTCTTCTGAGGAAAGTATGCTCCCCAATTCCCACCCAAGGATGTGAGCAAACAACACGGGAACCCAAGAGGGGTCGCTGAGTGGAGGCTGCATCAGAGGGGACAGGCTCTTTGAAAACTGGCTTTTATCCATGTGCATTAGAGCTGTGAGCAGCAGGGATTAGAGCTGAGCCCTTGGTGCAGGGCATGCCGAGCTGGGCAAGGCTGGTAAAGGGGGAAGAGTGTGGTCTGAACCAGGTTGGAAGCAGAGGTACTCAGGAGGCACAGAGCAAAGGGAGATCAGGAAGGGGAAGCTCCGGGAAGAGGAGACTGGGGCTACTCTCAGGCTGTTTGATTTGGAAGAAAAAGATGGTGGAGTGTGGACGTGCTGTGGGAAAAGATGGAGAGAGGAGGAAAGAGAGAAGGAGGGAGAGACAGGGGTCCTGGGCTCCCAGTCACTTGTTCCCCTCAGCTCCAGTCCCCAGGAGGTCCCCTGAATGCACTTGACTCTGCGCTTTCTTCATGAATCTGGGTGGGGAGGAGAGACAGGCAGACAGACACCGGAGCACCAGGCAGGGCTGGGGACAGGGGAGGGGTGGGGACACACAGGATGGCAACTCAACGTCTCCAGTGTCATGGACGATGTGTGTGTGCCCCACATCCACAGTGCAAACGGGGGTAGCGGGGTTTGGAGATCAGCAGATAGATGCCAGAGGCCACAGATGTGGCCCAAACAGGCTGCTCACCAGACAACTCAAACTCTCGGGGTGCTAAGAGCAAAGCCCCCGCTCTCACAGACAGCTGGAGGGACAAAGGACTTGCCCAGGGCCGGGTGAAAGCTGTCCAGCAATCCTTAGGGGTGACCCCCCCCTTCCCCCCATGGCTCACATCTGTCACCCTAACGATCCAGAAGGCTGTGATCTGAGGATCATGGTTCGAAGCCAGCCCCCCCGGGGTGTGGGGAAGGGGGAAGAAAGCCCATGATACTCATCACCCAAAATAAACCCCCAGTAGTGGTGCTGTGGCTCAAGTGGAGGAGCGCCAGCCTTGAGTGGGCAAAGCTCAGGAACACGCGGCTCAGGTCCACGAGTTCAAACCCCGGGACGGGGACCCAACCCACCAACCAGACAGAAGGCCGAGACCCTCACCGCGAACAGGCGCAGCACGTTGGCCACCATGATGGACACGGAGCTGGCGGAGGCGCCCACCACGGCCACCACGCGCTCGGGGGGCGCGGCGCGCAGCGGCGGGGCGCCCCCGGGACAGCGCAGCCCGGCCTCGTCGCCGTCGCCGCGGCCCCGGATCAGCGCCTGCACGAAGCTCAGCGCCTGCTCCAGCGCGTGCGTGTCCCGCGAGCACGTGTCCAGCAGCCGCGCGCCCAGGCGCACGCCCGGCAGCAGCCGCGGGTCGGCGTTCACGCGGTCCAGCGCGTACAGCATGGCCTCCAGCCGGTGCACGCCCTGCTCCTTCTTCAGCGGCCCGCACGCCGCGCCCGCCGCGCCCCGCGCGTGCACCGGGAACAGCCCGCCCAGCGTCAGCCCGCCCGCCAGCCGCACCGAGCCCGCCGCGCGCGCCACGCCCGCCCGCGCCAGCCACGCCAGCAGCGCCAGCAGCGCGGCCCGCGAGTCCCCCGCGCCCCGGGGCCGCGCCATCCGCAGGGAAGGGGCGGGAGGAAGGGAGGGGGGCACCGAGGAGGAACGCTCCGAGCACCCGATCGCACCAGCCAGCCCACCCTCCACCTCACCCCCAAACCCCGACCCCGGGCTCCGGTCCTGGGAGGGGAGGGAGAGTTGGCTGAACCGGCCTCCCTGGGAGGTCACCTCGCGCGCTCTCCTACCCTACCCTCTTGCCCCCATCCCCACCCCCGATCGATGGCTGTCCTGCTCCCAGCCCGACACCCCTGGTCCTGTCCTTCCCGGGGGTGCGCCCCCAGCCACCGCTGCGCCTCTCGTCCTGTCCACCCGCGCCTGTGGCTGGGCCGCTCAGGACAAGCCTGTGACAGATGCCAGGGCTCCGAGCCAGAGAGGATTTAAGGATTCTGGAGAGAGCTGGGAGAGGGCAGACCTCCTCCTGAGCTTGGAGGGTGGAGGAATCCACACGCTCTCCCTCTCCGCCTCCTCCCTCCCCGCCCTGACTCCCTGGCCCACCCAGCCTGTCTCCCTGTGCCATCTCTGGCCTGTCTCTGTCTTATTTTTGTTTCTGAGTCTCTGTTTCTATGTCTCTGGTGTGATATCTCTCTTCTGGAGATCTCTCTCCCTCCCCCCCCCCCCCACCCAGTGTCTGTCTGTCCGTCTGTCCCCTTCCTTTCCCTTTCTCTTGGCCACAACCTCTTTTGACTTCAGCTGTCTGGCTAAGGGTCGGCCAGCACCCAGTCACAAACCATGCGTGCTGGGTAATGGGCAGATGGTGATTGAGGCTGGAAGAGGAGCTGAAGGACAGGAGGAAGGGCAGGGGTGGCAGGAGCAAACCACACCCCAGCAGACCCTTAACATCAGCAACGTTCAACAGACCTGCAGCAAAGTGACTTTTCCCACTAACTCCCATTGCCAGTGGGCAATCGGAACCTCAGGAACTGAATTACCATGCCCTAAGACACACTGCTGACCCCAGCAAGCGTCAAATTTGTGCCCAGAATGGTGGAAAACCACCAGTCCAAGCCACCTTTGGCTAGAGAGAGAAAACAAGGCTGGCTTACCCAGCAATTCCCACTCTTACTTCTGAGAAACCTCTAAGGAGTTGTCCCCTGGTCATTTATTCCTGATGTTCAGCCTGGTGGCTCATGTCTGTAACCCTAGAAGGCTAAGGTAAGAGAATGTTGGCCAAAACCAACCTGGGAAAAAAGCAAGATTATCTGGATGAAAAAAATAAATAGCTTAAAAAGTATACAGAAAAGCCGGGTATTGGTGGCTCATTGCTTATAGTCCTAGCTGCCCAGGAGGCTGAGATCTGAGGATCGTGGTTCAAAGCCAGCCTGGGCAGAAAAATCCATGAGACTTATCGCTAACAACCCACATAAAATAACTGGAAGTGGACCTGTGGCTCCAGTGGTAGAGAGCTAGTTTTCAGCGAAAGGAGGTCAGGGACAATGCCCAGACCCAGAATCCAAGCCCTAGATTTGGCACACACACACACACACACACACACACACACACACACACAGTGCAAGAAAGCTCAAGGCTCTGAATTCAAATTCTAACTCCTATAAACATTAAAATGAAAACCTAAAAGTTTTCTGAGTTCGGGTTTAAGCAGTAACCTGGAGCTGACTCACCAAGTGTGAGCCTCTCTGAACTTGCCTTTCTCCAAAGGTATCTTACCACCATCTCTGTCTGAAGATGAGATTAGGCTGTTTGGTGTGGAAGGCGCATAGGGTGTCTTGGAGACAGGTGGTGAGCTCTCAGCCGTGGCTTAGCCAGATCACGGAAGTAGGGCTGAGCTGGCTTGGCTTTTGCCTCCATTAAACAGGGTAGATTAGGGTGGCTGCGGGGATTTGGGTATAGCTGGCAGAGGGAACAAAGAGGAAACGTGTGGCTCCTACTACATTCAAGACCTCAGTATTCTTTGTCCCAGCAGCTTGTCAACCTCCTCTGTGGTGGAAGCCAGGAGCTGGGAGAGACAGCTTGGTTTCTACCATTTTACAGGCTGGGCAAGGTGAGGCCCTTGAGCGGGTACCAGGCCTGAGCGAGATGATGCCTGCAGAGAGCGCAGCGTCCACATCTGCCTTTGCTACAAAGAGGTTTCTGTTCAATTTGTCAGTGTGTGAGTAGAGTGCTTCTTCAGGTCACCCCCCCTCGGTTGTTTTCCCCCATTCCTGCAACTTAGGGCCACATCCTGATGTCCTATGGAATTAGAACTTTACTATAGGAATTTTTTAAGGGATGGGGGGGGGGTGTAATTCATCTATACCACCACCCTGCAAAGACTGTGAATTCTGTCTAGTGCTTTGACACAACAGTAATTGAGAACAAGGGTTATGGAGGCCCTAGGGAGGGGGCAGAGGGTACACAGCTCATCTTCACAGCTGCCAAAGACAAAGCACCATAGCACTGCAATGCTACAGCATTCACCTGGCAACAGAGATTTCAAAGATCGTGATCGTTCACATTAGCCCAATACGCTTAGAAATGGGACAACAGATTCACCAGAGGCAGATTGATTTATGTATTAAAATGCAGGTCTATTCCGAAATAACGCATACTGCCACTTTGCCCGTGGGTGACATCATATGAGTGGACAGGGCTATTTGCAAAAGGTAGAACTGGAAGTGATTTGATCTCATCAGTCTGAAGTAACAGCTGATCGTCTGTCAAATGCAGGAACATGCAATGTGAAGCCTGTTCATTTTTGTTAGATCAGTTGGCATGAGTTTTATTGTTTGAGATTGGTACTGGCTTGAAGACGATAGACAGACAAACATTTAGGCTCCTGGCTATCTTCATGGAAAGATCTCCACTATTTTGAAACAAAACTGCTTTAATGAAAACTACATACTTTGTGGTTTGGGTTGGTTTCGATGCCAGTACTGGGGCTTGAACTCAGGGCTTCAGCAATGTCCTTGAGCTTTTTTTTTGCAGGCAAGGCTGGAGCTCTACCACTTGAGCCACAGCTCCATTTCCATCTTTTTGGAGGTTCATTAGAGATAAGAATCTCACAGGCTTTCCTCTCTGGGTTGGCTTCAAACTCCCATCTCCAGACCTCAGTCTCCTAAGTAATTAGGATTACAGGTGTGATGCTTAGCCACAGACTCATTGATACATTTAATATTTTGATCTGCCTTTCCAGAGAGCACAGAGGCTTCAAGTATGAAAGACAGTTGTAAAGAACCCTTCATTAAATATCTGAGTGTCCTTAGTGGAGAGACACTGTTTCATGGTTTGTTACCTTGTTTGCTTATCAGTAAGAGATGAATGACAGCACAGTTCTATTTGAAATTAGAGAAATTAGTGTGGGAAAGGCCATCCACTCAGACTTGCGAGAGAAATCCATGTAGGACAGGCACCAGAGATGGTTTCTTTAAGGGCCGTCTCCCAGGAGCTTGGTGGCTGTCACATCTGTCCAGGTCCTACTCCACAGGACCTGTAGGGGTCCTCTTCTCTGGCAAAGGGAACTTTGCAAACGTGATTAAGGATTTGGGTATGGGAGGGATGATCCTGGATTATCCAGGTGGGCTCCATGCCACCAGAAAGATCTTTATAAATAAAAGATGCGAGCAGAGAGAGGTCAGAAGAGGCTTGGAAATGAACAAAGAAGCCCCCAGCCAAGGAAGTCAGCTCTAATACCCCCAGGGAGACAAGGAAAAGGATTAGTCCCTGAGCTTCCCCAGGAGTACTGTCTTGCTAACAACTTCACCTAGGCCTAAGGAAACTAATTTGAGACTTCTGGTTTCTAGAGTATAAAGAACAGAAATCTACATTGTTTGAATTATTGTTATAATTCGTTACACTGATTAGGATTGGATTGGATTGGATCTGGTTTGAGTGTCTGCCCCATACCCCCAGCCTCAAGTGTTGGAAGTGTGGTATCCAATGAGCATGTGAGAGGTGGTACGGTCTTTATAAGGTAGAGCCTAGCCTGATGCTTATAATCTTAGCTATTCAGGAGGCTGAGATCTAAGGATCATGGTCTGAAGCCAGCCTGAGCAGAAAAGTCTGTGAGACTTTTATCTCCAATGAACTAGTAAAAAAAAATCTAGAAGTGGAGCTGTGGCTCAAGTTATAGAGCAACAGTCTTGAATGAAAAATCTAAGGGACGGTGCCTAGATCCTGAGTTCAAGCCCAAGTACTGGCACAACACAGACACGCAGACACACAGACACAGACAGACAGACACACTTCACATATCAGAAGAGGCAATAACCCTCTACTGCCAGTTGGTTATGTACAAGGCTTGCATCATGGGTGGTATGGGGTAGAGAGCTGAATGAAGAGGAAGAGGAAGCTATAGGATGTTTATCAGGAAGAGAAGATGACAACTGGAGACTTCAGAGAAAGACAAATGGCACAAAAAACATCAAAGGGTGATGACAGGTGTTTGTGTTGGACAACAGAATACATATTCCTGAAAACTCTTCTGTTGTATAAAGGTACAAATGGAAAATAACTCTGAGGATAGAAAAGACTGACCTTGTAACCGACAACTCAAGTCAGGCAGATATGGAACCAGAACACTAATGAAAACCAAAATCTTAATAAGAAATAATAGCAGGGCCAGAAATGTAGCTCAGTAGTACAGCTACATTTGACTAACAAGCATGATGGGTTCAATCCCCAGCTTAACAAAAACAAAAGAACAAGGAACACAGTGTTTCTAGAGAAAGCAGTCATATCAAGCTGAGACTTAAGAGCTAAAGAATGTCCCACGCAATTCTATTTCCTCAATCCCTTCTGCTACCTTCTAGTTCTCATGCATTCAAATCCATTTACTTTGAGTGCAAAATATTACTGTGCTAGGAAAAAGATATCTAGAAACCTTATAAGGTTTAAAACATAGAACAAGAAAGAAAATTTACTGATTTGCCTAAAAAGCAAAGGTGCAGAAACCCTAGCCCAAAGTTGACAAACAGACATGCAAAAAAATGTCACAAGCATGTCTGGTTTGTCCCAGAAATGAACTTGAGCAGATTAATGACTTAGAAAAATCTATTAGTGTAATTCACTGCATTAACAGATTAAAGGGAAAAATATGATTATCCAAATGGATGCAGAAAATTTTTTTGATAACATCTAATGTTCATTCATGATTTGAAAAGTTTAGCAATCTAGGGATTTTTTTTTTTTTAGTTTGCTAAAATTATCTACTAAAAGCCCACAGAAAACATTGTAAGTGATGAGTCTCATAAAGTATTTCCTTCAAAAACCAGATCAAGATAAAAACTGAAATTATCCCTTGGATAAAGGCATTTCTCCAGAATTATTTATTGACAACTTGCTTTTTCTTTATGATTTGCAATGTCAGTTTCTCATAAATGGTCACATATTGCTTAATGACAGGGATATAATTGAAAGAAGCATTGTGAGAGAATTTCATTCTTTAAAAAAAAAATTTGTATTCTAGTACTGGAGCTAAAACTCAGGGCTTAGGCAATGTCCCTTAACTTTTTTTGCACAAAGTTGGCATTCTACCATCTGGGCTACCCTTCCACTTCCATCTTTTTTGTTGTTGTTGTTGTTCATAGGGCTTGAACTTGGGCCCTAAGCACTGTCCTGAGCTCTTTTGCTCAAGGCTAGTGCTCTACCATTTTGAGCCACAGACTACTTTCAGTTTTTGAGTGGATAATTGGGGATAAGAGTCTTACAGGGACTTTTCTGTCTGGGCTAGCTTCAAATGTGATCCTCAGATCTTAGCCTCCTGAGCAGCTAGGGTTATAGGTGTGAGCACCAGCACCCAGCTCACTTCCATCTTTTTGGTGTTTAGTTGGAGATAAGAGTCACGGACTTTGCTGCAGGGTCTGGCTTCAAACTTTGATCCTTAGATCTCAGCCTCCTGAGTAGTTAGGATTACAGGCTTTGTGTAAATATCAGAGTGGACTTACCTGCACCTAGAGGTTTGCTTGTTCTGTATCCTCATCAACACTGTGTTATATTGTTAATATAAAGGTGATGTGGTATAGAAGGCTTACAGTTACATAAGTCAGGTAATGAGTACATTGCTTTTTAGACAGTGTTGCTCTGCTGTGGGGTGTTTTAAAACTATTATAATAGTCATACTAATTAGTGCAAAGTGTTCTATATCTCAATGTGGTTTTGATTTATAGTTCCACAATAACTAATGTATGCAGTTTTATTTCCTCAATGTAAAGTGGCCTATTTCATCCAAATTAAATTTACTTTGAAATAATGTTTGTTTTTTTATTTTAGCATAACTCTAGATTTCTTTTTTCATAGGATTTACCTAACATACATTAGTCAAACCTGTATTTTCTACCTTCTAGTGACCTTTGGATTCACATCTGTCAGGGCCTGGGCACTGTCCCTGAGCTTCTTTTGCTCAAGGCTAGCACTCTATCACTTGAGCTACAGAACCACTTCTGGTTTTTTCTGTGTATGTGGTACTGAGGTATGGAACCCAGGGCTTCATGCATGCTAGGCAAGCACTCTACCACTAGGCAACATTCCCAGCTGCAAAACAATTTTTATATAAAAAGTTGGTAAGTAGATTCTAGTAGTTTAGAATAAGCAATGAGTAGCTAGTTTTCCATATTCTTAAATACATACTCATCTTACCCTCTTTAATATTATTGCCATTATAATTATGAATAAAGTGCACGAAAGTACTGGGCGTCTGAAGACTTTCAGCTGTCTGACACCAGCCTGAACGCGTTCCCTTCTTGGACACCGTAGAGTAGTGTCGCTAGGCCAACTGGGAAATGTAGTCCAAGGGCGCCAGTGCTGCTGTGCGCGCAGAGAAGCCTGCGGACTCCCTGAGGAGCATGCGCAGTTGTTCGGGGAGGCTTGGCGGTGCAGCGGGTCCCTGCACTGTGCGTTCTGTTTGCTGCTGGTAAAGGGGCACAGCGTGGAGTGCCCGCGTGCGCGGAGAGAAAGTACAGACTGTTGGCCAAGGCGAGGGCGGCGACGGTGCGGGTGGCTCCGGGGTGCGGGACCGGGGGTTGACCGCGGCGCGGGCCCTCGCGGAGCTCCGGGCTCGGGGCGCGACGCGGCCTCGACAGGTGAGCAGGGACGGAAGGGGGCGTGGTCAGAGGAGGGGCGTGGTCTGCGACAGGGCGTGGCCGGGAAGATGCTGCGGCGAAACCCTGGGGGACAAATAGACCCAGAGAAGAGACTACAGGTGTCCTCACCCGTGCCCTGTTTAGGGGCTCATGAGTCCTGGGGAGGTTCCCAACACTTTGCATTGGTGAGTTTAGCCGTCCCCCCTCTGGAATTGTAACTTTGTTTTCTGATTATGGTTTTTTTTTTGGGGGGGGGGAACACTTTTTCTGGACACTATTTTACTACACTGAATCCTAGTGTTAGGTAACTGCTTGTTTTGTTTTTGTTCTTTCTCCGAAACTGTGTCTGCTGGCTGTGACCTCCCCTTTCTCTGAGTGGTTAATTTTTTTTAAATTTTTTTATTGTGAAAATACCGTGCAGAGGGGTTACAATTACATGAGCAAGGTAATGAGTGCATTTCCTATCAAGCATTGTTGCCTCCTCCTTTGTTTCCCCTTCCCATCCCTTCCCATCTCCCCCCTCCCCACTTCCGTGCCAAAGTTGTAAAGTTCGTTTTTCAACATAACGTCTTGTACATCTCATTGTTGCAATGGGTCCACCTGTATCCCTATTTAAATGATTTGTTTTTTTCCCTTTCCCTCCACAAATTATACCAACATCAAATACAGTGAAAACAGGGGTAATACCGTAGGGAGGGACATACAAAGCAACAAAGAAATCATCTTATAAATGTTAGAAACAATAGCAAGAAAGAAAAAACATTAGAGGCCTTATTTTGGGGTTCATTTCACCTAACATCAACTTATCTGACCGTTTCTGCTTATCTCAGATATATACTAGTTATTGCAAATAAGGTAAACCATGGGACCTATGTTTCTTTGGGCCTGTCTTACTTTACTTAATATAATTTTTTCCAAATCTTTCCATTTCTTAACAAATGGGGCAATGTTATTCTTTCTGATGGAGGCATAGAATTCTATTGTGTCTATATACCACATTTTCTTGATCCATTCATCTACTGAGGGGCAACTGGGTTGGTTCCATATCTTAGCTATGGTAAATAATGCTGCAATAAACATTATTGTGCTGGTGTTTAATTTTTGTATTATTGAGAGGAGCACCTCCTGTAGATTGTACTCTGCCTTTGAGCCTTTGCTCTGTATTTGAAATTGATTTCTACCCACTGATACGGTTCTACTTCAGCTTCTGGAGTGGGCTTCATGCCACATTTAAGCAGCTTTTCTTTTTGATGCAAGAAGCAAAAGTTTCAAGAGGAAGAGTGGATAGGGCTGAATTTTATTAGCTGTTTCTGAGAAATATATCCATTCTTCAAATGCCTTTTTTTTTTGGTGGGTATGTGTGGTACTGAAGTTTGAACTCAAAGCCTTGATCTTGCTAGGTAGGCATTCTACCACTTGAACCATGCCTCCAGCCTCCAATGCTGTTTTTACCTCCACCAGTATGCAAGGGCAGATGTGTAGTTAGTTACACCTTTTCACTTTAATTAACACCTATGAACTGTGTGTCAGCCATGTGTATGGCTGTATTTTTTACTTGGTTAGTGAACATTGGATGATTTCTGAAAACTTTTGTGCCTGTACTGGCACTCTACCACTTGAGCCACAGTTCTGCTTTGGGTTCTTGATGGGTTATTTGGAGTTAACAGTCTCCTGGCTGGCTTCCAAGATCTCCAAATCTCAGTCTCCTGAGTAGCTAGGATTACAGATGTGAGCCACCGGTATTGGGCCATCACGTGGTTTTTATCCCTTTAGTTTGCCTCATCTTTACAAACAGTCATTGGCTGAATTGTAGAGGGCCAAGTGACTGGACCAGATTGTCCATATGTGGCTTTGGTGGTGGTGCCCAGGCCCCCTCTGGTTTAATATTGCCTCGACTGTGCAGGTATCCTGAGGGAGGGTTGTATAACCCTGCTTGGGCTTAGTGATGGCAAGGTGAGGGCTGGATAACCATACCTCACTCACTACTTCTTTTCTCTATACTCAGTGTGTTCTCTGAGATCAGGAAACGAAGAGAGAAATGGCCAGGAGGTTGCTACCCACTCAGGCTCAGGTGAGTGAAGGCAGCTTCCTATACAGCACATCCAGATGAGAAGTTTCTCTATACATACATAATGTATATAATGTATAATGTATGTCTTTCACAGATATATAACTATATATAAGAATCTAGCTTGTCAAATGACTCCAAGATGTTATACATAATAATTCATAATTATATATCTCTATATAAGTATATATATATATCTATATGAGTATAGAGATATATATATATCTCTATATGAGTATAGAGATACATATTCTTAATAAGTGCCCACTGGTTCAGAGTGGTGATTGCAATTCAGTGAGGTTGCAGAGAAAGAGAAACAAAGCCGTGGGGTAGAGAGGGGAAACCTTTCTGCAGCTGTCTCCTGAGAAAGTCATACCTGGTCATACTCAGTGTTTCTTATTGTAAATGTCAGTTCCTCTTTCCTGGGGCTCAGAGATAGCTCAAGGTGATGACAGAATTAGGACCTCCCGAAGTAGAAGGAGTCTCTTTCTAAAATCTGATTTGTATGTCATCAATAAAGCAAGTCTGGACCAGGGGATTGCATATTTCCAGGTTTCTGGATTGAGTGTGGTGGTACATGCCTGTAATCCCAGTTAGGACAGGAAAACTGGGGGACTAGGATGTAGTTTGAAGTGAGCCTATGCAAAATTAGTGAGACCCTGTCTCTAAAGCAAAATACAAAGTTGCTGGGGGCATGGCTCAATAGGTAGAGCACTTAACCTAACCTGCTATAGAGCCCTGGCTGCCGTCCCCAGGTTTCGTTTTGTGTACTTCCTGGTTGGCTGCTGTGTGCTTTCTGGGGACATGGTGGCACTCACAGGGGGCACGTGATACCTGCATGTCAGCAGAGGAGTCCCAGTCCAGAAACACTCACCTGACCTGAAATCCCCACAGCCCTGGGTGGTGCTGGAGCTGGTTCTCAGGGGTGGGTGCTGTTTCAGGAGTTGGTGACCTTCTGGGACGTGGCCGTGCTCTTCAGCCAGGACGAGTGGTCGCACCTGGATGCTGCCCAGAGACGCTTGTACCGGGAGGTGATGCTGGAGACCCACAGCCACCTGGTCTCACTGGGTGAGCAGCCCTCCTCTATGGGAGCCGGTGGACTGGCCAGGGGGACATTTTGGGGGGAGGGTAACCAGAGGTCTAGATGTGGTCCATTTGAGGAAGGGCTTCCTTGCCCAGAGTTCTGTGCCCTCCTGCAATGAGAGGAGGGCACATAGCCAGGACCCCAACTTTCATCTTGAGACCCCTACCTCCTGGTGTCCCTGAGGAGCCCAATTTTAAGCCCCTCTGACAAACCCCCTCCTCCTCTGCACTGTCCCCTGCACTGCCCCAGCACCAGGGACTCGAGGCTGGACCTCTGCCATGGCCGCTCACGTCTTCTTGTTCACCACAGGGATTCTGTTTTTCTAAGCCAAAGGTCATCTCCCAGTTAGAGTGAGCCAAAGACCCCCATACAGTAGGAAATGGGGCGCCTCAAGGCGCATGTCTAGGTGAGTGGCAGGGAGCCTGGGCTATGGGCCTGGGGAGGGAGGCCACGTGGGACACACAGGCCAGGGGGAAGTGCGCATGCGCTCTCCACAGTTCTGCGCACTTTCCAGGCAGGTTCAGAGGAATGGGGACCCTGCCGGCCTGGAGTGCACTTGGGTCTGGAGTGCAGAATGTGTACCAACCACAGGGGGCCAGGTGGAAATGAGCATCGCTGTGCACCTGCACCCACTTCTACTGCATCGATGCGCTAACTAAAGCCACACTAGACCATGGACAGCCGCTTCCTGCCCTGTCTGAACTGTTCTTTCTCACTGCAATTGTCTTATTTATTTTCTGGTCCTGGGGCCTGAATTCTGGGCCTGGGCGCTGTCCCTGAGCTCTTCAGCTCAGGGCGCAAGACCTAACACTTGAGCCACAGCGCCACTTCTGGTTTTCTGGTGGTTAACTGGAGATAAGAGTCTTATGGACTTTCCTGCCTGGGCTGGCTTTGAATCATGATCCTCAGATCTCAGCCTCCTGAGTAGCTAAGATTACAGGCATGAGCCACTGGTGCCCGGCTTATTTAAAAAATTTTAAATTATTATTATAAAGGTGATGTACAGAGGGGTTACAGTGACATGTCAGATAAAGAGTACATTTCTTTTGGGGCAATGTCACCCTGCAATTGTCTTTATATCAGCATTTCTCCTGTGCCTTGTTCCTATGTAGATTTAATCGTTTGACTTCATTGTTTTCCACCACCCCATGTAAAACACCAGCATAGTTAGTTACCCCTAACTGATATTGTCTTGTGTTCCCATCAGCCCGTAGCTCTTCTTGGCTGGTTTGGTTACATATAACCTTTGTCCATATGAGCTTTGGCCTTTGGCGTGTTCCTTTATCTGTTTTAGTAACTCCTGGAGCCTTGACCTTTCGCATGGAGCAGGTGGGCACCGAGTCAGTTCTGAGCAGGTGTTCATCATGGCTTATTGTATGGCACTCTGATGAGTCTCAGTTTCCAAGGGCAGCAACCCCTTCACGTCTTATTTGAACCCTTCTGCAATCCTCCCTTGGCAATTATGAGTGCTCTGGCTCATCTGGAAGATAAGCTTGTCCTCAGAGATGACTTAATGCTGATGACCTGGGCTTCATTGCTCCACTAAGCCCAGCCCCTCGTCCTGCAGGAGCATCTTTCTGAGTCCTCAGTTTGCCTGCCCATCGGTTGCCTTGAGCTTTCCCCACCCCCAGCTTCCTGCTTCTTTCCCCTCTTCCTGTTCCCTTCCTTTCCTAAGATTTCAAGGCTGGCTTTTTGTTCGCTCTCTTTAGGTCTGTTGATGTCACGGTCTGTTTTGTTTGTTTTAGGATGGGAGAGTTTGTTTGAAACCACAGTTTCCAAAGAAGAGAATGAGAAAGGCTTGGACAAACTCATGGCCGACAGTCCTTCTGACTTCAGGTTGGGAAAAACCTGCACGAACGGGGATAAGTCAGGGATGCAGCGAGACAAAGAGAACCCCGTTTTCAGCAAAAAAGACCCCGTGAAAGCGAGGAGCTTTAGAGATACAGAACTTGGGAAACCTTTTGGTCCCCAGTCATCATTGATTAGAAAACCTAGAATCATGCCCAGAGGAAGAAAACCGGGTTCCCGGCGCTACTCCGTTCTGTTGGAACACGTGGGAGTGGACGCAGTGCGCAGGCGTTATAAATGTGACCTGTGTGGGAAAATCTTCGTGCACAGCTCTTCTCTGAGCAAACACCAGCGGACCCACAGCGGAGAGAAGCTGTACTCGTGCAAGGAGTGCAGGAAGGCCTTCAGCCAGAGCTCGTCCCTCACGCAGCACCTGCGGGTGCACACTGGCGAGAAGCCATACATCTGCCGCGACTGCGGGAAGGCCTTCAGCTTCACCACGTCGCTCATCGGGCACCGGAGGATGCACACCGGGGAGAGGCCCTACCGCTGCAAGGAGTGTGGCAAGGCGTTCCGAGGCAGCTCCTCCCTCCACAACCACCGGCGCATCCACACCGGAGAGAGGCCCTACAAGTGTCACGAGTGTGGGAGAGCCTTCGGCCAGTGCTCATCCCTCATCCAGCATCACCGGATTCACACCGGGGAGAGACCGTACGAGTGCAGCCAGTGCGGGAAGGCCTTCACCTCCGTGTCCCGGCTCAGCCGACACCATCGGATCCACACTGGAGAGAAGCCCTTCCACTGCGGCGAGTGCGGCAAGGTGTTCAGCTACCACTCGGCCCTCATTATCCATCGGCGAATTCACACTGGCGAGAAGCCGTACGCGTGCAAAGACTGTGGGAAAGCCTTCAGCCAGAGCTCAGCGCTCATCCAACATCAGAGAATCCACACGGGGGAGAAGCCCTACAAATGCGACGAGTGTGGAAAGGCCTTCTCCTGGGTCTCCAGGCTCAATATCCATCACAGGATTCACACGGGGGAGAAGCCGTATCACTGTAAGGACTGCGGGAAAGCTTTCAGCTCCCACTCCGCGGTGAACAGCCACCGCAAAACCCACAGCGGCGAGAAACCCTATAAATGCAACGACTGTGAAAAGGGCTTCAAGCAAAGCTCAGCCCTCGTCCAGCACCAGCGCATCCATACCGGAGAGAAACCGTTCAGCTGCCAAGTGTGTGGGAAAGCTTTCAGGCAGAGTTCCTCCCTCATGACCCACACGAGGATTCACACGGGAGAAAAGCCTTACAAGTGCGGCGAGTGTGGGAAGGCATTCAGTCAGAGCTCCTCTCTCACTAACCATCAGAGGACTCATAATTGAGGAGACCATAGCCACACGTGTGGGAGAGCTTCCAGACGCCTGGAACTATCACAGAGATCGGGCTGGAGAGAAAGAGGACAGTTCTCTGAAGTTAGATTCATCACGCATCTCCCCATCCAGGCCAACTTTGGGTATATCAGGCTAGCTTTGGTAAAACACTTCTTTAGAGTTTTGGTGGTTGTCTTTTATACATATATATTATCAGTACTGGGGCTTGAACTCAGGGCCTCATACACTTGTTTGGCTTTTCTGCTCAAGGCTGGTGCTCTTATCACTTGAGCCACAGCTTCACTTTGATGACTTAGAGATAAAGAATCTTGAAGATTTATCTGTCTGGGCTGGCTTAAAGTCCAAGCTTCAGATGAATCTAGAATCTTTTCTTTGTTTGTTTGTTTTTTGAGACTGTATTTATGTGTTAATGCAAACTGGTTATACTGGGAAGAAAAGAACTGTGCACAGGTAACTTATAGCTACCTCACTGTCCTGAACATTTATTTCTTTAATCCCCTGAAAACAGACTGTGTACTTGTTTGCTGACAAGACTTCCGGGCCATTTCTGTATTTTCTGGTCCCTGTCACTCACCTGAGAAGAGAATCACAGTGAACTGCAGGGATTCTGCATGTGACTTTTCTTCCTAATTACCTGTGCTGACATCTCACTCAGATCTAACATTACTTCAAATCACAGGACACATGGCATTTCCCTTTTTTTTTTCCCCTCAGAAAGAGATTGCCTTTCTTATATTAAATGGCAAAGTGAAAGGTTATTTGGAGAACAACTGCTTTTGCAATCTAATTTAGGGTGTTATTAGAAGGTATCTGAGGGCTCCCAAGCTGTGCCTGCCTCCTGAGCTTTCAAGTTACAGTGGGAGCTGCAGGAATGCTGAGGAGGTCAGGCCATCCTCCCAGGAAATAAAGCGAGCCATGCCACTCACCCTACGCACCCCTTTACCCCACCTAACAGTGTTGCCCCTCCTCACACTCTTGACAGCTATAGGCAAAAGCTTGGGCTCTGAGTTTGTTTTTCTCATCCAAAAAAAAGAGAGCGAGCGAGCCTGTAGCCTCCAACATTCACATCCATTTCAGCATGTCTAAAATATGAATTATAACATTAGCAAACTTAAAAGTTGTCTTACAAGTCAGAACTGTTGAGCTTTTCAGAAGTTAACATCTGGATTTGTCAAGTTTATAAGGAACACAAGCTCAAGGGCTGATATAGCCACTTTATAAAACAAAATGCTTTTTTTTTTTCTTCTCCAGGGAAGTTAAAAAAATTAGAAATGGTGCTGTTGGTTATAGAGCATAAGCAGAGCCGGAATTCTCTTTAGCTCTTGTGTTCTGGGAGTGAAGAGTCAGTTTCAGATCTGTAAGGAGCAGAAATATGCCCTGTTCCCCCCCCCCTTCTAAATTCTCCCAACTACTCCAGGTGGGAAGATTCTAGAACGCTTCCTTCCCCCAAATATAGTAGTCATAGAGAAGTTAGGTCTGAGTTTAAAATCCCACTACAAAATTATTTAATGTTATCTGTCATGGGCCCATTTGGGGGCTTGGCTGAACAGTTCCTATTGTCTAATTGATTTCTACTCTGCTGGGCTGGATGTCAATGGTGGCTGGCAGTTGGTAATGGCTACAGATTCTGGGCTCAGTTGAGTTATTCCATGGGGCTGGGGCTTCTCACAGGAGGGCAGCTGGTATCTGAGAGTGCATGCTGAAAGCTGGCATCCCCGAAGATCTCTGTACATGGTGAATCTTGTAAAGCAGCTTTGGAACTCTGATGAATTTGACTGGTCAAACATGAGACAGATTTGGCCCAGATACAAGAGATGCTTGAATTGGTAGGGCATGGTTCATTGGGTGGGGGGCATCCTTGGGGACTGGTTTCCCCATAAACAGAATTTGGGGGTAATGAGGCAGTGTGAGGCATAGAATGGCTTGAAGAGGAGCACAATCTTACTGCTTGGTTCTTGTTCAGGAGCAGAGCTGTCCAGGCCAGTCAGAGCAATTGTGGAAAGGAAGGTCAATCTGTGTATTAGTAAATAATTAGTACATTAATTTGATCCAATGGTTCTTTTTTGGGGGGAGAGGAGAATGTTGAAGAATAAAACATCCTAATGCCTCATCACTTTGTTGAAGCAACACCAAGTATAAGATGAAATGGGCTCAGAGATTGTACCCATTCTCTTTGTCTATAGATTTTCTTTGCCTGAGTTATCTTTGTTTCAGACAAGCTTGTTCCAAATTTAGAAGAAGAGAAATGTGTCCGTTTTCATGGCTTCCTTAAGTGGTCATTTTTAAAGCAACCTCATAATGCAAAAAATGCTTTAACATTTTTTGATGTAGTTGACAAGTGGAGGATTTAGAACATGTCATCTTCAAGAACACCAAAGTGATGTTCTGATTATTTCCAGTTCTGGCCACCTATCATCCATAGCTCCAGAAAGGGCCATTGGCTTGTCTTACCTATGACCACAAAGTGCCCAGAGCTGGAATGCATACGTTCCAATCCTGGTCTGGACCTCTAATCTGGCTTTGATCCAGGTTTAAGTGTTAACCACTGAATGTAGAAGGATCCCCTGCTTCTTGGCTATTACAAAGTATGCTGCCCTCAAAATCAATAGTGCCAAGAGGTAAACAGAGACCAGGGTTAGAGGACACGGAGTCGGTCACCTTGCTAAAATATGCAATTAGTGCTAGATGGACAGAATGTAACTTAAAAAAAAAAACTCCCCTGAGCAATATGTAAATTAATTTGAATGAGATACAGCAGGTGCAGTGTATTTAAAAGAACAAGGAGGAAAATGTACTCACCAAGGTTAGGAGACTATACAGATTCAAGAGTGTTCTTTGGATGGTCATTGTGCAAAGGAAGAAATATGACACATGAAGAATGAGCATTAGAGCTGGGGATATGGGTCAGTGGTTGAGCCCAAGGCTGTAGGTTCATTCACATCAATCTACAGTAGGCAGCAAATTCAGGTTTTGCTCCTTGGAACTTTATGGACTTTCCCCCCAGATATGTTTAATCTGTAATTGGTTGAATGCACAGATGCAAGAATTTGTGGCGACAGATGGCGGACTATAGGAAGATCAAAACCTTTGCAGGTGTGAAGCATTTACAATATAGGAACATAGAACCATCTAAGTGAGAATGCTGAAAATAAATTCAAGAAAATGCCTTGAGGGAATAAGCTAAACATCAGTTATGTGAGTATTGAGTTAATAATTCTCAAGAAGTAGCTATGGGCCAGTGCAGTGCCATCCAGCGCACCTGTACTCCCAGCAACTTGGGGGTGGAGGCCGGCTAGCCTGGGCTACATTAGTAAGTACTGGGCCACTTTGGGCTACCAAAGCAGCTCCTGTGAGAACCCCCCCCCCCCAAATTATGCCTCTGATCCCACCTGTTTGTACACAGTAGGTTAGTACAAATACAATCACGTGGAGGCTGCACAAAGACTGGCCGGTTTTGTTTAGTCAGATCGCTTTGCCCGCTGACAACCAGTGTGCGTCCTCTGGGTGCTGTCCCTCATCTCGGCCCGCGTTCCCGCACCCGCCCTGCTTCGCACCGCAGCCGCACGTGGCCAGGGCTTTTCGGCGCCTCCCGGAAGCGGGTTGGCCGCGGTGCCCTCTGGGAAGTGTAGTCGGGAGGCCCGCTGCACCCCGGGAGTTGTAGTTCTCCAGGCCTTTGACCGGGTTAGCGGGTTGGGGGCGTGGGGGGAGGAGGGAGCTGGTGGCCGCTTTGCCGGGGGAATCTGGGCACAGGTGATCCCCACTTTTGCGGGGCGTCTGAAATTGGGGCGACTGCGTGCTCTGGGCCGCGGTGGGAGCCGGCGTGTATCTGTGTGAGTGGGGCGACGTGCGCGGCCTCGGCCGGGTGGCGCCACAGGCCCGGCGCGGCGCGGCGCGGGTTCTTGGCGGGGCGGGGCGGGGGGACCCGAGGCCGCCGTGCGCCCCGCGGGCCGCGCGGGCACCGGGCCGCCGCGGGGAGGGAGCCATCCCCGGGAGGCGCGGGGTGTCGGGGTGCCCAGGGACCGGGGGCCAGGCCGTCTTTTGTGATTCTTAGCACACAGAACTCAGGAAAGCAACAATAGCTGCTCCCAGCCGAGCGCGGCCTTGTGCGGGACCCGCGGGGCGAATTAACCCGATTCATGCGTTTCCTGCGCGGGTGAGTGCTCGGCCCCGAGCTGTTCCTGTGTCGGGACAGGAGCCGGGCCAGGTCATCTGCTGGAATCGGAATGGAGGCTTGTGTGGGAAGCTGCCTGTCTCCCCTACTAAACCTTTCTTCTTGTTCTTTGTGTCTCTGGGCAGATCGGAACTCTGCAGTCATTGGGATCCCCTAGTCCCCAGTGTGCAAAATTGTAGTAGCCATACAGTCCTCGGTCTGCAGGTGCGGGGCTCACGGAGGACACCATATACGGTTGTGTTCATACCAGGGGGGTGGCAGGTCCCGCTGCAGAGTGCACACACTCCTGGCTGCGCCTCTAGTCCTGGCTTCTGTAGGCCAGGCTCGTCTCTCCTCCAACTTGCACGAGGAGGGAGAGGAAGGCCATTTGAGAGTTGGTGCAGAGAGATGGTACCAGTGGGCCCAGCAGGGCAACCGAATGGCAATCTAGTGCATCCTGAAGGGCTGCATACCCTGGGCGAGACAGGAAGGCCAGATGCAGATCCAGATAGTGCGGTTGGGAGCGTTTAATGGGGAGACGGTAGTACTTCCTGTGGGGTCATTCGAGGTTCTGACTTGAGGCAGAGAAAGAAGGGTGAGGCAGGTGAGCAGGCTGAGGATGCACTAGCTGTGTGACACAGTGCCACTCCTGGGAAGTTCAAGTTCATTGTGACAGTGTGGAGTTGAAAGCTATCCAGGGATCCTTAATATACCTGTAGATGAGCCCTAGTTTGTGTAGAGGAAGCTAATAGGCCTTTATATTAGAGCATCGCTGTATGGAAAATAGAATACAGGGAGGTGGAGGTTGGTAAACTGGCTTGGTTGACTTGCTTCTCGCTTGCTTTGCATTATTTAGGGGGCTGCTTTCTTGGGATTCAACGGCCATTGTGGGTGGTTGTAACCTCCTCCTTCTAAGTCATCCCTCGATTTGAGACTTCCTCACACCCCCTTTTTCCTCCCTAGACCTTCCTTGGCAGCACTCAGTGCTGCTCAGCTCTGACAGGGACACTAAGAAGTAAAGAATGGCTGCGGCTTTGCTTCCAGCTCGGGTGACAGTAAGTGAATCTTGCCTTTGTATGAATTGCCTTTTGGGTTCAAGGAGTGAATGTGTTTCCCTTGGTTGACCAGACATTTTTCTACACACACACACACACACACACACACACACACACACACACACACACACACACACACACACACACACACACACACACACACACACACACACACACACACACACACACACACACACACACACTATGGCGAATGTAGAGCCTGACACTTCTCTCTCCTCTCATGGAAACCCCATCCTTTCCTCAACACCAGCTCCCTTCCTGGTTGCCTCTTTTCTGTGGATTTTCTGTTCTGCCATACCCCAAGGCTTCTGCTGTTCTCCACTGCCTGCTTTTCTGAAATGTGGCAGTAGCCCATGAGTTGCAGATGTGAACTTGAACTTGACCAGGTAAGTTTTAATTCACACTAGGGATTTGACCATGGCCAGTGATGGTATGTATGTCTTTGCATCTCTGCGGGGTGGTGGTAAATTATATCTGTAGCTCTTAATAGCTCTAAACATGATTAGTGGTACAACCACAAATGTAGCTGTTGCATGCCAGGTTCTGCGCATTACAATATGTATATAAATTAATCTTTTCATCAGTTTACTCATTAAGTTCTCACCTGAAGACTGGATCTGCATTTTACAGAGCCACACAAGCTAGACCGATTCCAAATAAGACTATCCACACTGTAGTGTTAGACTCTGAGAAAGAACAAATAAGTGAACAGGGGGTACTGGTGGCTCATACCTGTAATAACCTTGCTACTCAAGAGGCTGAGATTCAAAACCAGCCTGGGCAGATATGTCCAGAAGAGTCTCATCTCCAGTTAACTACAAAAAGCTGGAAATAGAGGCACTGGCTCAAATGGTAGAGTGCTAGCCTTGGGTGAAAACAGCCAAGGGAGAGTTCGAGCCTTAGTACCAGCATGCATGTGTGTGTGCGCACACACACACACACACACACACAGTGTTGAAAGCAATTAGTTTATGGTACAATTAAGATATTGACAAAAATTATGTTAGTGTAGCCACCTTGGCTGATGCATTACTTTACCAACAGCCTCTCCTCACTAGCTGGGCTTTGACTCTTTTAATTACAATGAAGTGAATGGTTTAGAAAGCCAAGATGCAGACACAGCAAAATGCAGGGCAAAGCGGAGCCCAGCAGTGACCTGGGCTCCGGCCTAAAGGTGAAAGGGAAACACTTCACTCTCTAGACTCTCCCAAGCTGGGCAGGCTTCCTTCGTTTCCACTGAAGCAAGGGTGTGCCATTTGGTTTGTGGGTTGAAGCCAGTTTATGTGGCTAAAACAGTACCTACCCCTGTGGTTGTCTTGGGGCCCCAGGATCCCACCACAGGACTTGCCAGCTGACACCTGAGGCAAATCTCTCTCTGCTGTGTCAGAAAAATTAAATAGCAAACAGGCCTAACTTGGGGGGGGGGGGGAAATGAGGTATTTGCAGATTTTATAAAGATCTGTTTCCATGGAAAGTATAGTTTCATATCTGGAAAAAAAGACATAGAACTTTGTACTGATTGTGTATGTTATAGTCTTAGGTACATTTTTTTTTTTTTTTGTCTGTAGTAGTTTGATACCTCGTTTTGGTATTAACACTTTATTTACTGTTTTAGCACTTTATTTTTAGAGGGTAGTTAGCGTACACTCATCCGGCTTTTCCTAATGGTGACACCCCTTCTCCCAGCTGGCACGGTCAGTAGCAGCCGTGGCTGCACCGCCAGCACTTACAATGGGAGCCCACACACTTGACTTACAAATGTGCAGGACAGATTGCCACCCTGGCCCTCTTATTGAGTATATCAGAATAGCGAATGGCAATCCTCAGGATCTCAGCTTCCTGAGTAGTTGGGATTACAGACGGGGGCGGGCCACTGGTGCCTGGCTTTGTCCTTGGGGGGTTTTTATGAGGTCAAGGAGATTCCATCAACACTTGACATTCATATTTTCATTACAAACACTAACGAATACTATCATTTTATCATTTTGTGACTGAGTTTTTTTTTTGGTCGGTTGTGGGCTTGAACTCGGCCTGGGCACTGGTCCTTTAGCTCCTCAGCTCAAGGCAAGCACTCTACCACTTGTGCCACAGTGCCACTTCTGGTTTTCTAGCATTTTATTGGAGATAAGAGTCTACGGTCTTTCCTGCCCGGGCTGGCTTTGAACCGTGATCCTCTGATCTCAGCCTCCTGAGTAGCTAGGATTACAGGCGTGAGCCACCGGCGCCTGGCAATGAGTTTGTTTGTTTGTTTTTTAATGTCTCTTTTGCTGTTGGAATTTTCCTTAACCTGCCCTCATTTCCCTAAATGTATTCAGATTTTTTATTTTATTCTATTCCTTCATTTAATTTGTCTTTTGAGTGTAAGGATGACTTGCCTAGCTACTTTAAAAGACCCTGGGCTGGAATTTTCACTCGCTGTCAGTGGGGACTTTTTTTTTTTTCTTTTCCTCACAGCATGTGACATTTCTTTGATCCCAATGGCTAGTCCCTAAACAGTTAACTGGTATTTATGTAGAGAGCTGACTTGAAAATTTTGGGCTCCTGAGATTTGGGGGGGAGGATGGGGTTGTGCTTGAATCCTGGCGAGGAAGGCGGCAGCGTGGGTGAGTGGCACTGGTTTTCATCCTAGGAGTTGGTGACGTTCAGGGACGTGGCCGTGCTCTTCAGCCGGGACGAGTGGTCGCAGCTGGACGCCGCCCAGAGACGCTTGTACCGGGAGGTGATGCTGGAGACCCACAGCCACCTGCTCTCACTGGGTGAGCATCGGAGCTCCCTTCTTGGGGTGCTGGGAGTGACACTTCCATGTCGCTCCATGTGCCCTGTGCCTCTGCCCTCCCTTCTCAGTCTGCTCCTTGGCTAGCTTGAGATGCTCAGATCAGGATATGTAGATGTCCTTGGGAAGCACAGCAGCCCCCCCCCCCCCCCCCCCCCCCCCGGGCTCACTGAATCCTTTCTGAAGTAAAGCCTGCTTCTTGTTCTATGTCAGCCAAGGAGGGCACTGCCAGGCTGGCCCTGGTGGCTGAGCGCAGGATCTGGATGTGAGTTCTGTCCGCTCCCTTTCCTTCCCCTCGGGCAGGGATTTCAGCGTCAACGCCTAAGGTGATTTGCCAGTTGCGACAGGGAGAAGATCCCAGCATGGCGGAAAGCGAAGACTCCAGGGACACTTGCGGAGGTGAGCGGGAGATGGAAATCGAGCATCTGGGATCCTGTGCACAGATGGGCAGGTTGCAAAGCAGCAGTTACAAGACTGAGCCCCATGGAGAGGCTTAGGGTCCCTTGTGTTTGATTTCAACTGCAGGGTTTATTTAAGTACTATGATCACCTGATTGCAGTGGTGTAATCCTCTCACGTGAGGAGAGCCACATTTTAACTCCCCCCCCCCCCCCCACACACACCTTACGAGCTGCTCAAGCTAACGTTCCCGTGGAATCTGAGCTGAGCTGTGGGTTGGCGCGCAGTTCGGAACTCCAAGACAACTTTGTCCTGTGTAGCTCACAGATTTCCTGACTTCAGACAGTGCTGTTCTGGTTGTAGCACGTTAGAAGATTTGACCATGCCTTTCTCCTCCAATCACATAGTAAGGAGAAAGATGTGGCAGGACAATAGGAGAAAATTGTTATTCCTCCAGTCCTGACAGGCCCATGGCTGACTTACTCCCCCTCTTTCCTTCCCTCACTTTTTCCCTCCCTCCCTTCTTCCTTCCTTCCTTCCCCTCCTCCCTCCTCCCTCCTTCCTTTCTTCCTTCCCTTTTTTGGTACTGAGGTTTGAACTCAGAGTGTCATGCTTGCTAGGCAGAGGTTCTACCTCTTGATCTACACCCCTACCTCTTTCTTTCTTTATTTTTTGGGTAGGGTCTTGATTTTTTTTTTTCCCAAGCCTGACCTCAAGCCACAATTCTCTTATGTCCTCCCAAGTAGTTGGGTGGAATTACAGGTGCACACCATGGTGCCCAGCTCCTTGATTGAGACTGGTCTCACTTTGCCTGGGCTGGCTTCAAAGCACAAGCCTCTCGATCTTTGCCTTGAGTAGCTAGGATCACAGGCCTGAGCCCACTCTGCCTGGCTCTTTTTCTTCTTTAAAAATCAGCGTTTTGGACTTAGGTGAAATACAGTTGACACAGAAATACAGTTGCTCTAGGACTAGGATAAGTTTTAAACCCCAGCATGTCTTTTAACTGTTTCCCCTTTAACAGACATAGGATGTGTGATTACGATCACACAGGGAATCACAGCTTGTAAGAAAAACAACTCAAACATTTGAAAGTGGTGTGGTGTGAACAGGAAGAAGGCTTATGTGCCCCGTGCTCGCTGGAGCCCCTGGGGTTCGGCTGGAGCTGGCCACCTGCCCTTGCTAAGCCTGCTCCAAGGTCCTCATCTCTCAGGCCGCAGGCCCTGTACTTCCAGAGTCACATTATCCAGGATGTCCTCCCTCCCTGCTCCTAAGCAGGGACCTCATGGCACATCTGGCCGTCCACGGGCCCCATCCATGTCTGCCCTGGAGGGCATCGGGCCTCCTCTGGGCTGCTGCCAGCCCCCCGCCCCGCTGAGGCAGGCGTACCTCTGCCCGGCAGAGCGGGGAAGGCCTCACCCTTCCCATTCATTTCAGATTTCAAGGTGGAGCCTGGGAAAGAAGCCACAGGACCGGAAGGAAGGTCTGGAGGGCTGCTAAAGAAAGAACCCCTGCAGCCCGGGGGCCCCGTGCTGCCCTTGGGAAGGACCGTGCATGCAGCAGCGAGCGTGGCGGGGCGGGAGCGAGCGAAGCGCCCGGCCCCACGCCAGCAGGGCCTGCGTGGAGTTGGCAGCCCGGGCGCCGGGGCGAGGCCCTCCTCGCTGGGCGGCGCGGCGCCGGCGTCCCGGCCCAGCGTGCCCACCGAGAGGATCCCCAGCCTGTACCCGGCTCTCGGAGGACGGGCCCTCCCCCAGGCTCTGGAGCTCACGGGATGCTTCCAGATTTCCCCCCGGGGCCGGCCTCACGCGTGCCGGGAGTGCGGGCAGAGCTTCAGCCAGAGCGCGCACCTCCTGGAGCACCAGGGGCGGCTGCACGGCGGCGGCGGCGGCGCGGGGAAGGCGCACGGGTGCGGCGAGTGCGGGAAGGCCTTCAGCCACCGCTCGTCGCTGCTGGCGCACCAGCGGGTGCACACCGGCGAGAAGCCCTACAAGTGCGGCGAGTGCGGCAAGGCCTTCGGCAGCAGCTCCACGCTCATCAAGCACCTGCGGGTGCACACGGGCGAGAAGCCCTACCGCTGCCGCGAGTGCGGGAAGGCCTTCAGCCAGTGCTCCACGCTCACGGTGCACCGGCGCATCCACACCGGCGAGAAGCTGTACAAGTGCGGCGAGTGCGGCAAGGCCTTCAACTGCCGGGCCAAGCTGCAGCGCCACCTGCGCACGCACACCGGCGAGAAGCCCTACCGCTGCGCCGAGTGCGGCAAGGGCTACAGCCAGCTGCCCTCGCTGGCCGAGCACCAGCGGCTGCACACGGGCGAGCGGCTGTGCCCGTGCCCGCAGTGCGGCCGCACCTTCACGCGCACCGCCGCGCTGGCCGAGCACCAGCGCCTGCACGCCGGCCAGAAGCCGCACCAGTGCCCCGAGTGCGGGAAGACCTTCAACCAGCACTCGTCCTTCAACGAGCACCGCAAGCTGCACACGGGCGAGAAGCTGTACACGTGCGGCGAGTGCGGGAAGGCCTTCGGCTGCAAGTCCAACCTGTACCGGCACCAGCGCATCCACACCGGCGAGAAGCCCTACCAGTGCCGGCAGTGCGGCAAGGCCTTCAGCCAGTACTCGTTCCTCACCGAGCACGAGCGCATCCACACCGGCGAGAAGCTCTACAAGTGCCTGGAGTGCGGCAAGGCCTACAGCTACCGCTCCAACCTGTGCCGGCACAAGAAGGTGCACACCAAGGAGAGGCTGTACAAGTGGAAGGAGTACGGGACCCCCTTCCTGTACGGCGCGGCCCCGACGCCCTATCACAGGTTCGCTTCCTCCGACGACCCCGCTGTGCTCCCCGGGCCGTGAGCACAGCGCCCTCCTGGGGCTCCAGACACCCTCCCTCCCTCCCCCAGGAACCCTTCGGGGTGCGGGTCCCAGGCTGCTGCCCTAACCGTGGCCTGTTTGATAGCCCCCATCGAACGGCGGGATTCCTAAAATCCGGCCGCCTTTTGAAACTCATAGGAAAAGTGGAGGAAGGCCTTGCTTCTTCGAAAAGCCCACGTTGTAGTGGATCGTGGGTTCTCTTTCCAAGAGGCAGCTTCTGGAGGTGGATAACGTGACTGCCCACGCGGCCTCTTTTACTACATGGCAAGGAAGGAAGCAGTTCTTTCAGCCTGGCCTCCCACGGGGTGAAACCCGAGCCCTTCTGGTTTGCTCCATAAGCAGTAGATGTGTCAGCGCATCTGTACGTACAGGAAGGCGTAGACACCGATCTGTCCACCAAAAGTGCAGTGCACACCACGAGTAAGCAAGTAATGTTTCTTACATGGCCACGCATTTGTCCCATCCAGAGTCCCGTGTGCTGGGCTTTTGAGCTGACTGGGGGCTCAGCAGAGTTGCTTCGTGCCAACAATGCAACACCTGGTGATGGCTATGACGTCACAGTAGCGGTGTCCTCACTGTATGCACATAGGCAAGTGCACAGGATGTTGGAATACTTCTTTTTTCCCCCCAAAGTCGTTGATAAAAGAAAAAAATTAGTCTTAAGAATTTAGAATTTTGTTTTGTACAATGTAAACGTTGGTCAAAGGGAACCTCTTGGTTTTGCTTTCCTCTGTTATTTCTTAAGCAGTGTGGTAGTCTTAGCATAGTGCACCGTAGGGGGCGGGTAGGGGGATGTGCAGCTGCAGGCCTCAGGGCCTGTTACGGAAGGTCAGCATCTGATACCGTCTCCCATGACCCATCGGAGAGATTCCATTCACTATGGCTTTTGCTTGGTTGTGTTGTGGCCTGGTTCAACGCCATCGCAGTAACCTAATCTGTTTGGTTTTGTCTTTTCAGCTTTCCCTTTACTTGAGTCTTCATTACTGACTTAAAACCAGATTTATTTGTCCTATAGCTCTCTGGTTGTAGCTGCGTTTATGACAGTCCTTAAATCCTCAGAGTTAGTGTGAAGGCCCAGAGGGTGCTACTAGGGGTGTTTCTCACGCAACATTGCCCCTGTAGTGTGAATCTTGGAGGAATTCTGGGTAACGTTGTAGATGAATATTTTATGATTAAACAATCTGTTCATCCCTTTGATATAGCCCCTCACCCCAGGCCTATTTCCTGACCATCGTAGTTGGAACTGTTTTAAAATGGTTCTACTGCAATTAATTACACTGTCTGTCTTGAGAATGGTTTTAGAATGAAGCCGTCTCAGCATTCATCAGGATGAGTTTCTTCATTGACTTGGTTTAGCTAAACAGGAGTCCCTTTATCTATTTAAATACATATTTACAAGGGAAATGAGGCTTTTCAACTGACCTCAAAACCCCCATATGGTCCCAATAGCAGTGGGCATGTGTAGTAGAAAAATCTGGGTTTCTAGATAGCATTCCTGCTGAGAGGAAGCTGAGTTCTTGGAGATGTGGGTGACTCCAATGTGGAACTAGTGAGCCTAAATTAGCTTTTCCTGAATGAAAACACAAGATAGCATTTGAGGATTATTGGAGTCACATCAGAAGAACAAAGAGACCCACTCTTTTGAAAGCATTCCCAACAGCCAAATTTAGGGAAATTTGAGCATCACAAAGATTTATCACTAGGATTGTTTTTAATCCACTAAGAAGAAGAAAACCATAATGATAAAAACAAACAGACAAAACAAGCTCATCTTTCAAATGTATACAGAAAAACTTAAGAAAACAACCATTTTACAATCCTTAATGTAATTAAGTCTAGAAAAACTCAATGGATGGTAAAAAAACAAACAAACAAAACCACTAGCTGAAAAAAAAAATATAAGGAACTCTGTGTAGATGATGACGGACATTTACAGATACCAGTTGGCGTAGTGAGGCATGCCTGTAATCCCAGCACTTAGGAGAAGTGGAGGCAGGAGGATTACAAGTTTAACGCCAGTCTTTGCTACACAGCAAAATCCTTACTCAAAAATAAATAATGAAACAACTCACAGACACCAATTAGATTTGGTTTTATAACTGGCTGAGTGTTACTGCTTATGTGGAGGGCTGACATGTGACTTTTAATGAGTGACATGTAGAATAAATCCCACCATAATTATTTATGATACACTGCCAAAATGTCTAATGAAAAGAATCTATTAAAGATCTTTTATCTGAACTTCCTAATCACAAGGAATCGAGTAATAAGTTGAATTATAGGACCATACACAAATCCAGAGTCTGGAACATTGTAAAAAGACGACTGATCTGGCCATATAATCCTCTATTGGGTTCTGATCCAGAAAAACAATAGGAACTCTAGAAGGCCTTTGGGCTATTTAGGAGCTATGAAGATGGAATGGGATCAGATGATGTAGTGGTTCGATGTCTTGAACAGGCGACGGTATTGGGTTAGTAGCATTGTTTTTAGGAGATGCATGCAGAAGATTTTAGGTTTAAAAAGTCGTGATGTTGGCAGGGTATTTTCAAGTGAGTATGTAAGAAAATTAACTTGTGGGACCTTTGTGGTAGATGTAGAGATATTCATGTTAAAAGCTTGTCTGGATGTTTAAGAATTAATAAAAATTGAGGCAAAGTGACTTAGGAAGGACCATCAGATTTCACCCCGCATTGTCTCAGGGAGCTCTGCTTCAGGAGCTCTGCACCGCGACTGGATAGAGCTGTTGTGTGGGGTAGCTGGGGACCCCACAACATGGTGACAACAGGCAGTTTGGGGGAGGGAAGTGGTTTAAAAGCAAGAGCATCCGGAGCTCGTGGGCATTCATATGGCCAGAATGGTGGAGGCTGACGGTGTCTCCACCTCTGAGAGAGGGGAACCCTTGTCTCTGCCAAGAAGAACTGTGGGCCACCCAGGGCCAGGACACCCCCAATGCTTTTCCTTCTTTCCCTCTCTCCCTGCTACGTGGGCCTGGAGGTGAAATGTCCACCAGGTGTGAGGCAGACAGAACCTGAACCCTTGGATTTCTAGCCAGAGCTCAGGAACACAGAGGACTCAGGAGCTGGAAGGTGCTGGGCTGGTGGCAGAGACGAGGAGACTCCAGTCATCTGTCAGAGCTGCCTGTGTGATCAGGACTCGGCCTTGATCCGCATGTGTGCAGATCACCCCTCAGCTCACTGGCTGCGTGAGAAAAACGGCATCAATCTTAGAAGCACAATCCACAGGAGGATTGGAACTGGTGACCAAGCTAACCTGGTCAATTGCCTGCTTAGAAAAAAAAAATCAAAACATTTTCCAGAATTAGTCATAGTCTTAAAATCTGCAAAATGCCCAGGATGCAAGGCAGAATTACACATAATAGATGAAGCAGGAAAATGCCCACCATTGGTTAGGAATGAGATAAAGACACTTCAAGGTGATATATGTTGGAATTATGAAACAAAGACTGGTGGGAATGTTTTAGATTGACACTTGGTTGTACATATTTAGGGAGTGTAGTGTGATGTTTCGACTCACTTCAAACCCCAGTATTGAAAAAAGAAAAGGAAAACGAGATCTTAGCCTAGTAAAGTGGATCCACCAAAACCTCACAAATAACATTTTCCTGATGATCAACCATGTGATTAAAGTTAGGAACAAGATACTACGTCCTATTCACTATCATACTGCCAGTCTGCACGAGGCAGGAAGCAAGAGGCCTTTAGATCAGAAAGGAAGAAGGCAAAGTGGTCTTGCGTCGATTTTCCATTCAGAAATCCCAAAGAAATCTACAAAACGCGAAATGAATGAGTTTAGTCAGACAACAAGATAATAAGGTTAACACGTGTCCATCTTTCACTAGCATCAGGCAATCAAAATGAGCTCAAGCAAGATATTCCATTTGTAACTTTTGAAAAAGGACAAGAAAGCAAATGACAGAAGTCTAAAACACCGAACCAATGCCAGTCTGAGAAGGACTCATTCTTGTAACGAATTTAATAATATCTTAATAGACAAGCCAGCCCTAAAAACTTGTATGGAAAGTAAAGAAAAAAAATTTTAAAAGCAGAGGAACAGTTCTGAAAAGCAGAATCAAGTTGAATGGTGGTGTAACTTTCACAGTGCTGTCATAGTAAGAGCTGACACTGGAGAATGGAGAGCCATAGAGACCATTGGAACAGAGAGAGAGACCAGGAACTGACAGAGGGGCTTTCAAAACTTGGCCCTGAGGGTTTAGGAGTGTGATAGAGCTTCATACCAGCACTTGAGTGGGGGCTGGGCTTAGGGACTCACTTTGAATGACTAGAATGCAGGCAGATGGGAAGACATGCCATGGAGAGATTTGGTTAAAGACTGGCTTCTGTTTGGGGGAATGTGTCCTTTGGAAGCTGGCTGCCATGAGGACAGCTGGTAGAGAATTTTGTGTGGTCAGTGAAGTGTGGGATTGACTGGCAGTCAGCTAAGAACTGAGGCCTCTAGCAATATGGGATATAGATCCTCCCGTACTAACTGGGCATGTCTGGAGACTGGACCGTCGGGAGATGACTAGGCCAGGAGGGCTCTGACCTCATGAGTGGATTCAGCCATTATTGATGGATTACAGGTGTTGGGGACTTCTAAGACATGGGCCCTGCTTGGGAGCAATAGATCATTGGTGCCTTTGAAAGGTCTGTGTCTCTCTCTCTTTGCCTTGCCATAGGCTTAGAAGCCACTGGGCCACACGATCATGGACTGCAACCTCTAAGACCTTGAGCCAAAATGAACCTTGCCTCCTTTTAAGCTCCTTTTTGCAGGTGTTTTGTCACAGTGATGGGAGGCTGACTGCCGCATCAGACCTGCAAGCCAGACTACAGCTCTCGCCACCAGCCTGCCTGCAACCTCGCGTGACACACTGCAGAAACACTCATCTAAACCACTTGCTATGGCCTTCTAAGTCTCAGACACTGCCCACGAACCTGCGAAGTTTTGTGGAGACACTTTGTGATACAGCAGTGGCTGACTAGTATAGAA